TGCATATTTTTCTCATTTAGTGCTCTGAGTATATCATGCCAGTTCTTTCTGGTCTGCCAGGTCTCTGTGGATAGGTCTGCCTATCTAATGTTTTCTACCATTGTAGGTCCTCTTATCTGAGCTGCTTTCAGGATTTTCTCTTTGTATCTGACACTTGGAAGTTTTACTGTTAGACGATGGGGTGTTGACCTGTTTTACTGATTTTGAGGAGGGTTCTCTGTGCCTGCTGGATTCTGATGCAGGTTTCCTTCCCCATATTAGGATTGTTCTCTGCTATGATTTGCTCCAGTATATCTTTTTCCCCTCTCTTTCTGCTTCTCCTGGGATCCCATTATTCTAATATTGTTTCATCTTATGGTATCACTTATCTCTTGAATTCTCTCCTCATGATTGAGTAGTTGTTCATCTCTCTTTTTCTCAACTTCTTTATTCTTCATCATTTGGTCTTCTATATCACTAATTCTTTCTTCTGCCTCAATTATCCTAGCAGTTAGAGCCTACATTTTTTATTGCACCTCATTAATAGCTTTTTTTATTTCGATTTGGTTAGATTTTAGTTCTTTTATTTCTCTAGAAAGGGATTCTCCAGCTAGTATCTTTATAATCGTCATTCTGAACTCTAGTTCTGACATCTTTGTAATGTCCCTGTTGATTAAGTCCCTGGCAGTCGGTACTGCCTCTTGTTTTGTTTTGTTTTGTTTTGTTTTTTCTTTAAGTGTTTCTGTTGTGTCATTTTGTCCAGAGAAGAGTAGATGAATGAGAGAACAAAATGGTAAAAAGGTAACAACTACCCTTGAAAAATAAACACTAAAAAATCAGAAGAGAACTGAAATGGGGGAGGAAAGAAAGGGGAAAGAAAAAGAAGAATGTGATCAGGCTGGTGAACAGAGCAGAGCCACACACTAGATTTTGGCTGTATCTTGGTCTGTTAAAGGAAACTGCCTCCCAAAATTTTAAGGAAAGAAAATCATGTATATATTTTAAGGAAAGAAAATCATGTGTATATATATATGAAAATCATACACACACGCACACACACACGTACATATATACACACAAAATAAAGGTAAATATGATGAAAGGATGGAATGTGACTATAAAGATGAAAATTTTAAAAGATTTTAAAAAAAGAATTGATAAGTTGATTGAAAAAATAAAGAAAAAAAGTTAAAAAAAAATGTGATCAGGTGGGAGACTAGAACAAAGCCATATACTAGATTTAGGATATATTTTGGTCTGTTAGAAGAAACTGTATCTCAAAATTTTAAATAAAGAAAAACATGTATATATACAAGAAATAAGGTTAAATATAATGAAGAGATAGAATATGACTGTAAAAATGAAAATTAAAAATTTTTAAAAAGTAATTGATATGGTAGGATGGTTAAAATGGGAAAGTGGAAAAATTAAATAAAAATAGAAAAAAAAAAACCAAGGAAAATTTTAAAAATCAACTTTGAAAGACAAAAGAATCTTGGGGGAAAAGCTGTAAATTCTATGTGCTGTATTCTCCTAACGCTGGAGTTTTTCAGTTCTCATTGGTCACCAGACTTGGTTTTGCCTGGATGTTCTTGCTGATCTTCTAGGGGTGGGGTCGTTGCAGTGATTCTCAACTGTCTTTGCCCGAGGCAGAATTGCTCCATCCTTGCCAGGGGCTGGGCTAAATAATCTTGCTTTTCGGTAGCTTTCATTCCTCGAAAGCTTTCTGTACAGCTGTGGAGGACAAGAATGAAAATGGCAACCTCCCAGTCTCCAGCCCTGGAGGAGCCGAAAGCTCAGGCCTCCCCCTTCAGTGATTCCTCAGAGAAAAGCAGTCAATCACACCTGTCTCCCTGTTCTCCATAGGCACTCTGTGCTTGCCCAGCCTGTGACCGAGCGTTTTTATCTCTGACACACAGCCCCGTTTGGAGTTTCCAAACCCAGACGATTCCTGCAGCACATTCCAGTGCTGCTTCTCCCTGGGAAGGAAGGGAAGTCTCCCAGGATCTGCCACTTGTTGAGTCCCTGCTCAAAGAGCAGTTGCCCGACTGTACCTTGGATCCAGTTTATGGCAACAGCAAGCTGAGAGCCCACTCCTTGGCTCCATTTCTGCAGCTGGCTTTCCTGCTCCGATACTTGGGAACTCTGCCTCACTCTGGCATCCCTGGCCTTTCTGTGACCCTGAGGGTCCTGAGACCACACTGTTTCAGCAAGGATTACATCCCCCCGCTTAGCCACTGGAGTGATGTCCCTTAGTGGAACAGACTTCTAAAACTTCTGATTTCGTGCTCTGCTGCTCTGTCATTTGCTGAGGCTCCCTCCATGGTCTGTCTTCCTGTGTATATATATATATATATATATTTATTCCTGGATTCTCTTTTTTGCATGTCTGCCCTTCCAGAAAGTGGTCGCTATTCTGTTCATAGATTTGCTGCTGTTCTTTTCTTCAGTCTCTTGTTGAGTTTGTAGGTGTTCAGAATGGTTTGATAACTATCTAGCTGAATACCTGGGACTAGACAAAATTTAGGTCTCCTACTGCTCCACCATCTTGCTCCTCCCTCGATGAGGGTCCTTTTCTTCAGATTTTTTTTTTTTTTTTAAGATTTTTATTTATTTATTTGAGAGAGCACAAGTGGTGGCGGGGAGCAAAGGGAAGGGAGGAACAGATTCCCAGCTGCGCAGGGAGCTCAACATGGGACCTGGTCCTATGACCCTGGGATCATGACCAGAGCTAAAGGGAGATGCTGAACCATTTGAGCCACCCAGGCCCCCCTCTTCAGATCTCATAGTACAATTTATTTTAGTAGTCTTCAAAGTAAAAATATTAGCATGCCTAAAAATATTCATGCAGTGTTAGTATAACTTCAGGTTTCTTTTTTTGGGTACACATTTCATATACATAATAGTCTAGTGTTATACAAAGGGATTATATTAAGTCTTGATCCAGTCAGAAAATAGAATCCACACATTAAAAAGGGAAGTTTAATATTAATAATTAACTATAATTATCAATTGGAATAATGAAGGATTGACTAATAAAAAGTAATGAGAGGGGATCTTGCGTGGTGCATATGGTTAAGTGTCTGATTCTTGATTTCTTCTCAGGTCGTGATCTCAGGTTTGTGATATTGAGCCCCACAGTGGGCTCTGCTCAGTGCCGCATCTGCTTAAGACTCTCTCTCCTCTCCCTCCCCCCTTCACGAGTTTGAGTTCTGTCTCTCTCTAAAATGAATAAACCAAAGAAGAAAAGGTAAAGAGACTATTTTAAAGCATATAGGAGTAGACAAAAGGAGCAGCCACCCTAGGACTAATACAGAGCACCCAAGGAATAGGACCCAGGGACTGAATTCTAGACCTTGTAATGTGCAGAGTGTGGCTTACTGATGACAGAGAAGTTGCTATAGAGCTGTGTTGGCAGAACTTGTTGAAAGTCTGTCTTGCATGCAGAGGAAAGCTCTTCTTCGGGAGTTGGTTTTCTGGAGGCACTCTGCTACACAACCCTCTGTAGAGGGAAGCTGCTCTGTGCATTGGGCACTGAAGAATCTGCCCACATTTGTGGGAACCTGTTGGTAGAGAAGCTGAGAGTGCCGCAGGAGTCAGCTGGGCATACAAGCTAGAGCCAGGAAGCAAAATCTTCCTGTAGTGTTTATCAAGCAGCATCTGCTGACCGCTTTAGCTGGCAAAAGTAAAACATTTAAAGGCCCAAATCTATTTTCTTAGAAAAGGCAAAATGGATGAGCTTGGTGATAACTGGCAGAATTAAATGCTTTTTTGGCAGGGGTTGGTGCTGGTGGTGGTAGTAGTTGACAGTAATAGAAATGTGGGAAAGCTGGTACTTAATCTCATCTTCTCATTGAGCTGGTAAATTTCTTCAAGGCCTGTAATTGTATGAAAAGTCTCTCTTCACAGAGCAAACTCTTTTTTACTCTCCTATATATTTATGAAGATGTTTGAGGATGAATTGGAAAATAATATCTATATATATAGCAAGGATTTTAATTATTTACTAGTTTCTAATTTTTAACTTATCATTTATCCTTTTAAAGTTTGCCATTATACTTCTTCAGAGAAATAGTATGCCAAGATATTATTTAAATAAGATTGTAATATAGATGTTCTTCTGCCTGCCAGCCTTTGCTCCCGTACTTTTTTTTTTTTTAAAGATTTTTTATTTGTTTATTTGACAGACAGAGATCACAAGTAGTTAGAGAGGCAGGCAGAGACAGAGAGAGGGGTAGCAGGCTCCCCACCAAGCAGAGAGCCCAATGAGGGGCTCAATCCCAGGACCGTAGGATCATGACTGGAGCCGAAGGCAGAGGCTTAACCCACTGAGCCACCCAGGCTCCCCTGCTCCTGTACTTTAGCTAGAATAATTTTCCTCCATCTTAAGACTTTTCCTCTGGCTAACTCTTTCATTTTTCAACTTTCACTGGTTGGTTCTTCCTCTAGGAAGCCTTCCTTGGCTTTTGTAGAGTAGGCTAGGTGCTGTTTTGTGTATGCTAGGATCCTGTGCTCTCCCTGAAAACATCATCTGGGAGATGCCCCTTTAGTTGTACTACCAGCATTCCCCACAGTGACCCCATGGGAGAGCAAAAAGTGTCTTGTTCACTTCTTTTTTCTTTTTTTTTTTTTAAAGTATGTTCCACACCCAGCATGGAGCCAGGTGTGGGGCTTGAAGTCTCAACCCTGAGATCAAGACTTGAGCTGAGATCAAAAGTTGGACACTCAACTGACCAAGGAACTCAAGTGTCCTTGTCTTGTTCCCTACTTTAAATGCCTAAGGTTTAATTAATTACCACATACTTATTACATAGTGTTTTTTAAAGATTTGTGGAGTGAATATAATGGGAAGCACGGTGCTCTTCATTTGATTAGCAGCAGTAGGATCTAGTGACACATCTGGTGTACCTCAGACTTCATTTTTATTTTTGTTACAGCTTAGTTTTTTTATGGAATTTGTAGTATTATTTGTGTATCTATTATAAACCACCTTGAAATACCTACATCTCACTCTCTTCCAGGTTCCTTTTTTGCCAGGAGATTCAGACCTTGATCAACTAACAAGAATATTTGAAACTTTGGGCACACCAACTGAAGAACAGTGGCCGGTAAGCCTTCATACATGTTCTTTGAAATTTTGTTAGGACTCTATGTTGCTGTCATGTAGGTATTACTTAAAGAAATGTATTCATTTTCTTAAGTTACTAGTAATACATACTTTGAAAAATTTATGTCAAATAGAAAGTTAAAATTGTGATATACTGTCCAGCCTCCTTTGTATATGTTGCCCTTTCTCCATCCCAGTAATTCCCATCCCAGGGTTAATCACTGTCAGTTTGGTAGAAAATCTTGCTGTGAGGATACATACACAAGCATATAAACATAGAGTTGCATTTTCTGTCTTTTCTTTAATAAAAATGGGATCATACCATATAATTTTTTTGCAACCAACTTGCTCTTTTTTTTTTTTTTTAATAAGATTTTATTTATTTATTTGACCGAGAGAGACACAGCGAGAGAGGGAACACAAGCAGGCGGTAGTGGGAGGAGAAGCAGGCTTCCTGCTGAGCAGGGAGCCTGATGCGGGGCTCGATCCCCGGACCCTGGGATCATGATCTGAGCCAAAGGCAGACGCTTAACAACTGAACCACCCAGGCGCCCCCCCAACTTACTCTTTTTACTTAATATTTAGTACTGAGCTTTTTCTTTTTAACAGCTACATGATAATTCATTTTGGTGGGTATTTCATGTTTATCAACATCTTGGTGGATTTAGGGTATATTTGTAGAAGTTTCACCAACAGTTAAGATATATCAGTACCTTGAATATTTTTAACCTGTTACATTGTCTACAAAAAAATCTTAAATCTTGGGTAAAATTTACAATAATTCAAGTTGCTAAATTTTATATATTATAGTTCAGTAAGGTAATCTCACTTGTTTATTCTTAAAGATTTTATTTATTTATTTATTTATTTATTTGATAAAGAGCACAGGCAGGAGGGTAGGGCATCACGGATAGGGACAGATTGAGAGGGAGAAGCAGACTTCCCACTGAGCAGGGAACCTGATGAAGGACTTGATCCCAGGACCCCAAGATAATGACCTGAGCCAAAGGCAGACACTTAACTAACTGAGCCACCCAAGCACCCCTCACTTGTTTATTCTTAAAATTGTAATCCTTTAGATTTTCCTTCCTCTTAACAGCCCTATCTCCTCTAAGAATAAATATTAGAAAAGAGAGATTTTAATCAGACTTTACCTTCTGATTGAAACTGTGGTATACAAATTTTTTCAAGCTCTGAATAGCTATAGGAATCTCAGCAGGGGTTAGAGTAACCAGCTTAACCTTTCCATAGTACCAGAATGGCTAAGTCATAGCAGTGCTCACAGTACCAGGCCTTCTCCACAAGATTACGAATAAACTGGGCCATGGTTCCAGGATGGAAAGTCCAGTGCCCAGGACAGTCACTGAATCTGACCAAATGATTTTTGACAATGGTGCAAAGCAGTTCGATGGAAATCATTACATTCTCCATTTGACAGTTTTAGTTCTTCATTTGAGAGCTATGTGCCTTTCAGTCCCTAAGTTTGAATTATAAATATTTTTACAGGACATGTGTAGTCTTCCAGATTTTGTGACATTTAAGAGTTTTCCTGGAATCCCGTTACAACACATCTTCATTGCAGCAGGAGACGACTTGCTAGATCTCATACAAGGCTTATTCTTATTCAACCCATGTACTCGAATTACAGCGACACAGGTATTTTAGCATATCTTTCTTTTAATAGGAAATATGGGAATAATCTTAATTCTGGCATAGATAAAATAAAAGTAGAATTTCTTGAGATTTTCTAACATTCTTTAAATACTGTAAAGATGTGTTTTAGTTTTAAGGAATAACAAATTTTATCTTGTCCCCAAGCTACAAGCTGTTCAGACTGGTATTAAATTACATCATGTACACACAACAACAGGAGAATTTACTTTTGTTAAGGAAGATATAAATACATATTTATTTCATAATTAATTGGCTTCCAAGTAGTTTACCTAGAGAAGAAAAAATAAGAAGCATTCTGTACTTGTTAAAATAATGGTTGTGCTAAGCTTAATGCCAAAAGTGTTTCAGTTTTTTTTCCCATGAAATGCAGTCCCAGTATCCATGCTTATCATTGTCATAGTCAGAAAATGATAATGGGGAAGAAAATAATACAGTTCTTCTTCTTTTCTTTTTTAAAGATTTTATTTTTAAGTAACCTCTACACCCTACGTGGGGCTCAAACTCAAAACCCCGAGATCAAGAGCTGCATGCTCTTCTGACTGAACAAGCCAGGCACCCCAAAAATTGTATAATTTTTATTTGATTTTTTTATTTTAAAATTTTATCTATTTGACACAGAGAGCACAAGGAGGGATAGAGGTAGACAGATGGAGAGGGAGAGGCAGGTTCCCTGCCAAGCCGAGAGCCCACCATGCAGCCCTTGACCTGAGCCAAAGGTAGACACTCAACCAGCTGAGCAATCTAGGCACCCTGTATAGTTCTTGATACAACTTACGCTTACAAGAGATTGAAAGATACTCTAAACAGAACAATGATACTGATCCTTGTTTAAGGGAAATAAGAATCAAACTAAAAAAAAATTAGGAAGACCAAGAATGTCTGCTCTTATAAAAGAAGAGAAAAATGTTACCAAACAGAAAAATAGCCCTATAGATTGGTGGGGGAGGGGCAGAATCAATTTTCTTTGTCTCAAAAACAAGCACAAGACAAAAAAGGACAGTGTCACAAACATTTAAAATTGGGGCAGGGAAATCCAGGAATGCCTCACAGTACAATGATTTGACTTCATAAAGTAAGACTGATTAAAATGGAATGTCACAAGACTTCATATTTAACAAACCATGTTAATGTACATTATACCAAGGATTCAAAGGGATTTTTTTTTCCACTTAAGTTTATTATAAGCTACCAAATCATTGTCTAATGCATTTCTTTCTTTCTTTTTTAAAAAGATTTTATTTTATTTATTTATTTATTTGTCAAAGAGAGAGAGAGAAAGCACACAAGCAGGCAGAGTGAAAGGCAGAGGCTCCCTGCGGAGCAAGGAGCCCAATGAGGGACTCGATTCCAGGACCCTGGGGTCATGACCTAAGCTGAAGGCAGCAGCTTAACCGACTGAGCCACCCAGGCGCCCCATAATACATTTATTTCTATAGGCCATCTGTTTTTGGCGGTATATAATACTACATTAATACATATATGCTAGATATTTAACCATCAGAATTTCTTTTCTAATTTCAAACAAGTATCTCAGCATTACCTTCCCACCTTTACACATATACTTATTACCTTCATCAAAAGAAACTTGAGACTAGGTCAGATTATCTAGAAAGTTGTTTTCATTAGTAGTAAAACTCAAAATTTATAGAAAAATACTAATTGTGACAACTTATGTGTGTTATATTTTGATAGAATACATTTTCATTTTTTAATTTTTTTTAGATTTTATTTATTTATTTGACATACAGAGATCACAAGCAGACAGAGAGGCAGAGAAAGAGAGAGAGGGGGAAGCAGGCTCCCTGCCGAGCAGAGAGCCCGATGTGGGACTCAATCCCAGGACCCTGGGATTATGACCTGAGCTGAAGGCAGAGGTTTAAACCACTGAGCCACACAGGCGCCTCTAGAATGCATTTTTTTTTTTTAAAGATTTAATTTATTTATTTGACAGAGATCACGAGTAGGAAGAGAGAGAGGAGGAAGCAGGCTTTCCGCTGAGCAGAGAGCCCGATGCGGGGCTTGATCCCAGGACCCTGGGATCATGACCTGAGCTGAAGGCAGAGGCTTTAACCCACTGAGCCTCCCAGGCACCCCTTAGAATGCATTTTTTTTTTCAAGATTTTATTTATTTATTTGACAGAGATCACAAGTAGACAGAGAGGCAGGCAGAGAGAGAGGGAAGCAGGCTCCCTGCTGAGCAGAGAGCCCGATGTGGGACTCGATCTCAGGACCCTGAGATCATGACCTGAGCCGAAGGCAGCGGCTTAACCCACTGAGCCACCCAGGCGCCCCCTTAGAATGCATTTTTAAAAGCATGTTCTGGCTCATGGCTATCTGTCTTAAAGTTGGAATGAGATAATGTTCCTTTCTCAGATCTCTGATAGCTCAGAATTAGTTTAATTTACTTACGGAACTTCTTGATTTGGAAGAAATACTGTAGAAATTCAACTCTTTTGAAGTCATGAATCTCTAAATTATTACTGCAAATAATAGAATGTGGGAGGAAATGCTTGAAAAGTTTATATGGACTTTTTTATATTCCTGAAAGGATTATCCAAAAGGAATATTGTGGCTATAGGATGCAAATAAATTATGAATTTGACCAGTTTATCGTTTAGAATAAAACTATTTTTATGGAAAAAAAAAACCAAAACTATTTTTTTTTAAGGTTTTATTTATTTGACAGAGATCACAAGTAGTTAGAGAGGCAGGCAGAGAGAGAGGGAGAGGGAAGCAGGCTCCCTGCTGAGCTGAGAGCCCGATGTGGGACTCGATCCCAGCACCCTGAGATCATGACCTAAGCCGAAGGCAGCGGCTTAACCCAACAAGCCACCCAGGGGCCTCCAAAACTATTTTTTTTTAAATTTTGGACCAAAGTAAAGGAAATATTGTATCATAGAACATTGAGCAGGTAGAATATAGAAATAACATTGTGCAATTCCTTCCAAGTAAAATTTTTAATAATTTGCAGTGGATTGTTGGGTTTTAACACATTGTTTCCAACCTTTTGCATCATTTAAAAAAATGTATTTTCAAGAATTTATATTTACATGATTTGGAATTTTGAATACATATAGATTTTGTGACAAATTTTGAAGTTCTTTTTAAGTATTGTTTCTCTCTTTATGTGTTGAACTATAGAGCCCCTAAAGTGTAGAGAGCTGAATTATACAATGTCTTACTAAGGGTATTTCATGTTTAGTATAGGCTGTTTAACTGTGGAAAAGTTAGAAGGTAGTGTCTTTTTTTTTTTTTTAAGGTTTTATTTATTTATTTGACAGACAAAGATCACAAGTAAGCAGAGAGGCAGGCAGAGAGAAATAGGGGAAGCAGGCTCCCTGCTGAGCAGAGAGCCCGATGTGATGAGGGGCTTGATCCCAGGACCCTGAGATCATGACCTGAGCTGAAAGCAGAGGCTTTAACCCACTGAGCCACCCAGGTACCCCTATAGTGTCTTTTCTTACAGTAATAGAATTACCTGCTGATCTTAAGCTATTATATATTTATTTATAGTAGTTTGCTCATCTAAACTCTTGAAATCAATATCGTTTTGGAAGTGGGGTATTCACATAGTGTTTTTAATATTCCCAACAACTCTGGAAGTTAGATTTTCTTAAAAACAGTTCAGATAATCACTTAAAACCCTACTTTCCTTGGTATCTTCCATTTTTCAAGGCATTGAAAACTAAGTATTTCAGTAATCGGCCAGGGCCGACACCTGGATGTCAGCTGCCAAGACCAAACTGTCCGTTGGAAACTTTAAAGGAGCAGTCAAATCCAATTGTAGCAACAAAACGGAAGAGAACACAGGCTTTGGAACAAGGTAAAACTTCCATTTTCATAAGAAATGAAATGAATTCAGAAAACTCCAAGTAGGTAGTATATAGCTAGTGACCAAGGGGCAGCTAAGAAATGTAGATTGTGAGCTATTTCATAAGTGTGGTAGAGAATGTGGTATTTTAGCAATATTTGTTTCCACTGAAAATAATTAAATCAAGCTTTTTAAAAGGATATGGGCACTTTTGAGTGTACCTCAGAGTTGCAAGAACTTACCAGTATGTACCTTATTTTCTTTTAAGTTTTTATTGATGTATTGTATGCTTAATGTTAAATAAGTTTTATTAGCAAACCAAAGCCAGTAAAATGAATGTAGTTGGAATGCAGTAACTGGTTAGAATTGCCGTAAGATTAAATGTGAACAACCTCATTTTGTTTTCACCTAGGAGGATTACCCAAGAAGCTAATTTTTTAGTTACAGAGATCACTGGACAGTATATTACTACTGAAGGAAATAGTCAAAAAAGCAAATAATGGAGAAATAGTAAACATTAAGTAAATGCTGTAGAAGGAATTTGTAAATACTCCACACATGTAAAATATGTAAAACTGGATTATTTTTATTAAATTTATTTTAAAACAAACTTAATTCTGTTTTTTCTGATGAGAGTGCAAAAGTAATATTAAGTTCAATTCTTTGAAATGTCGAATTGAAAATGCATTAAGGAAACCTTAATAAAAATAATCATCAGTTACTTTGGTGAGTTGGCCCACACAGCATCACAGATATGTAGTAGCAGGGGTAGTATTCAAAACAGAGGCAGTAGTAGAATTGTTGCATATACCTGCTACCTAGAGCTAACAAATGTTGATATGCTAAATAGGAAAGAAAAAAGAAAAAATTACAAATGAAATTGAGCTCCCTTTAATATGTCATTCCATTCTTTTCCTTTTTACCTTCCCAAAAGGAGAGCGAATTTCAGGAAATGATTATGTCCTTCCATGATTTTATACTGCTATTTTATAAAAATTCATGTAGTAATATACCATATTGTTAAAATTTTATGAGTGATAGACTGTACATCTCGTAATTTTTTTTTACTCAAAACTTTTAAAGTCCCTTCCATGTCAATGCACATGGAAGGGACTTTAAAAGTTTAAAAGACTTTTAGGGGCACCTGGGTGGCTCAGTGGGTTAAAGCCTCTGCCTTCGGCTCAGGTCATGATCCCAGGGTCCTGGGATCGAGCCCCACATCAGGATCTCTGCTCAGCAGGGAGCCTGCTTCCTTCTCTCTCTCTGACTACTTGTGATCTCTGTCTGTCAAATAAATAAATAAAATCTTAAAAAAAAAAAAGTTTAAAAGACTTTTAAAAGACTTTAAAAGATACACATAGCTTAGTATCTGTTTAATATATAAAAATATATATATATAACACTACATATTCATGCTTTATGGATTATTTTTCTTGTGTTATATAAAAATTACCATAAGTATAGCACCTTAAAGTAACACAAATGTACTAGCTCACAGTTCTGTAAGCCAGATGTCTGACCTGGCCCAGCTGTGTTTCTTGCATAGGTCCAAATCAAGGTGTCAGTTGAACAGGTCTCTTTTCTGAGTTTCTAGGGAGGAATTGGCTTATAAGCTCATTCATTTCATGTAATTTTAATGCACATGCTTCCTGTCCTGGTCTGTTAGCCAGAGGCCTTTCCCAGCTTCTTAAGCAGTCCACATGCCTTGTCACATGGCATTCTCCATCTGTACACCAACAGCTGTGCTTAGAATCTGTTTGGTTTCCTTGTCTGCTACAAGAGAGAAAACTGTTTTCTTTAAAAGGACAAAATAGATGACATCAAAATTTAAAATGTCTATCAATGGAGTGATAAGCACAGAGTGAAAAGAACAATAGAAATTATTTCCGAATCATATATCTGATAAAAGATAACTCAATAAAAATAATTATATTAAAAAATGGGCAAAGGACTTGAATAGACAGTTCACCAAAGATGATATAGAAATGGCCAATAAGCACATGAAAAGGTGCTCAATGTCACTAGTCATTAGGGAAATGCAAATCAAAACCACAATGAGATATCACTTCATACCTGTTAGGATCTCTACTATCCCGCACCCCCCCCAAAAAAATCCCAGAAGGTAACAAGTGATGGTGAGGAGGTGGACAAATTGGGACCCTTGTGGATTTTTGGTTGGAATGTAAAATGGTGTCTGCTATGGAAAACTGGCCTGTCCTTAAAAAATTTTAAAGAGCATTTTCATATGATCTAGCAGTTTCATTTGAGTATATACCCCCTAAGATTGAATGCAGGGTCTCAAATATACATAGTTATTGACATTGTATGAAAGGATCTGTTTCACCTCATCATTTCTAGCACTCATAATCTTTGTGATCTTTGCTAATTTGGTATCTCATTCTAATTTACATTTTTAAAATTTCTACTGTGGTTGAATAGTTCCTCACATTGGCTAACCATATATAATCCCTTTTGTAAACTGTTGATTTAGATTCTTTGCTTTTGGAGTGTTCCAAATTTTATCAATTTATATGAATTTGCATTTTATATACATATACATGTATTTTACACACGCACATTAAAAAAGAACCTTTTTATTTGCTTTTTTTCCTTACACTTCCAATTTTGGTATTGGTGAACAGTTCCTTTTATTACCTTTTATTTCATATTAAATCATTACATGTATTAAATCTGTGTATGGTCTTTATCCTGTTCCATTGATCTGCTTGTACCGCATTGTTTTAAATAAGGTAGCTTTATATTACTATCAGGACAATGCACTTTTAATGTCTCGTAACAGTTCCTCAGCATTACTCCATTTTTCAAAATTTATTTGCGAAGTTTTTATCTTTTATTAATATTTATTAATTCCAACTAAATGGTGTTGCTTTAATACAACAATAAATGGCTTATACTTTCTGCTGTTACCTTATTTTACCCTGTTGTTACCTCATCTACTTAAGTAGTATTTAACGTAGCCAAGCCACATATGTATCTTTTTTACTAGAGATCGTAATTAGAAAAGTTTTATTAAAACTTCTGATAAGGTAATATATTTCCTTTGACATAACTGTGATGTTATTAATATAGCAACATTCTCAAAAAGTATTTAAGATCTTTACTATATAACACTTATAGAAAGGAAAAAAATTAAATGGCTTAAATTCAGCATCAAAACCAAGAAGTTAAATGAGAATGGTGTGAATGCTAGAATTGGCATTCACAAAGTGTCCCCACACACCAACAAAAAAAGAAGCTATAAAGGTAACTAACAACCTTTTGAATATACTCTGCCAAAGTCCCATCATAGTAACTTTTTAATTGAAGTTAAGGAGATTACTAAACTTTCTGTGGCACATGAAAAATCCTGAAAAAAAAATACAATAAAACAAGATATATGTATTCCAAAAATGAACATTCAGTTATTCCTAGACATTGTTACTTCTTAGAGGATTAATTTATATTGTTACTTAAGCCAAAGATCCCTGTAGTCAATCTAAGCAGTTAAATAACTTTGTTTTTCTCAAAAATCACTTTTTTGTTGTTTTTAAGATGGCAAATACTGGAAATTTCATAAGGTATAGTAATGTAATTTATAAAATATGTCAGCACAATACTAATATCTTGTAGAAAATGTTTTGAGTATTTAAGCTGCTTTCTAAAATTAGAAAGACCCAGAAAATATTTGACTTCTGAAGATAAAGCAACATTTGTACAGTCTTTTTTTAAAGTCTCTTGATAGAAACAGCTCTTGGTTCTGATTTCATTTGGTTTATTTTCAAAACATGATATTTGATGGCAAAGAATAGGATCTTTTGAGAGTTCTTGTGCAGTTTTGATCTCTGTGAAGGTGTTGGATTGAACAAATGCAGCCCACAGAATTTAAAATTTGAACACTTGAATATACAGGATCATGCAGTTTAGGGAATTCTGAAGATTTCCCCCAGTGATTTTTCAATGGAAAATTGTCTTTCACAGGACTTTTTCCCTTAGTCTTATTTGAGGTGGTGTCTTTCTCTTCCAGTGCCCGAGCAAGCATGTAACTAACTTTTCTTTGATGAGCCAGAGCTTCTTCTTTATCATTCAACTGCACATACAAAAATTAAAATTATATTAGTTAGGGGTGCCTGGGTGGCTCAGTCATTTAAGCATCCGAGTCGTGGTTTCAGCTTGGGTCACAATCTCAGGGTCATGAGATCTAACCGAGTCCCCCATTCAGGGTTCATCGTGCTTACTGGGGAGTCTGCTGGAGAGTCTCTCTCCCTCTGCCCCTCCCCCAACTTGTACACATGCTCGCTCTCTCAAATAAATAAATCTTTTTTTAAAGATTAAATACAAATATACCCATTAGTCAGTAAATCACAGAATATAGAGCTATAGTCAGAAGAATTTTTCTCAAAATGTTCTATCTTCAGTCATTGTAAATAATTAGGTATCTACTGATTCCCAAATAATATACTACACATTTCTGAATAATTTTTTTTAAAGTAAGAACAGAAAGCAGCATTCCTTCTGCTGAAGCTTTTGTAGATCATCTGAAGAAAGAGAGGGGAAAACATATACATGGTGTGTGTATATATGTGTGTATAATATTAACATGTACTTACCTCTGCAAGAGAATAGTGAAGTTATTTATGTGAAATTGTTTTTATACATTTATATGAGAATAACTAACTTGAACACTTCTATAGATAAGTATGTTCCTATAGCATGAATCTTCTAGTTTAGTCATCTATGAAATGGGGATAATAGGACTGATTTTCAGGATTGTAGTGATGATTAAAGGATATAATGTGTGAGAAAGTTGCCTTGTACACCTTAAAAATTCCTGAATGGCGTGGATTGTATGCATACGTGCAGATGACAGAGGTGCCTGCAGTTAATTACAGGGGAGCCCCCTCTTTTCAGAGGTGAAGCTTTAAACTTGTACAGGAAGAACATGAATGGGAGAAGTGGGAAGAGCGTGCAGGGAATTTAAGATGAAGACCAAAACTGGAGGATGGTACATCAGCTGGGAAAAGGGCATAAAAGGCAAGTACAGAGTGTTAAAGAATTACATTTTAAAAAAAGTTGAATTAATAGGAAGCAGAAAGATTAACTTAACCACAACCTGTAACAAAAGGAAAGCAAAGATACTAACCAACTCTGTCAGCATCTTAAAGACTTCCTGAGGGTTATTCTGGTCATGGGTCTTCTTAGAATTGTTTTCTGAAGGGAGCATCTGCAGCAGTTTCTGCCCTAAGGTCTTCTTATTTCCTTGTGATGGTAATCCTAAAATCGAGCATGCAAATCCAACTGAGACATAAAAAGACACTCAACTAATATAGTTCCTGGAATAGAGGTAAGTATGAACCAGGGATAATTCATTTGTAAATCAGTCAGGAGGTGGTTCTCTTCAGGAGGCCTCTAGTGAGTCAGGCATCACAGTGTACTGGGAGGGGAACACAGACTTTAGAGCCAGGATGGCAAATGGAGGTTGAGAGGGCCCACAGTCTAAGGACCCAGAGCAATGCCCTCCCTGCTTGCCACTCCCATCTCATTGTACTGCTGCTCCTCTGGACAGCATGCAGTCCACATTAACAGCAGCCTTCCAGAGGAGGCAGCAATCCAGTGTTGTATGTAAAATCTCCCAGTGTTAAATGTCGGCCACTTACCCCTGTTATTTGAGAACACTGTGCACACCCAACAAAACATGGCCTCTGAACCATGCAAATTCTGTTTTAGAGCAGAAAGACCTGGACTTGAACCCTTATTTAAGCACTTTCTAAATGACCTTGGACAAGGTCTCTGAGCTTTTGTTTCCTCACTTCTAGAATAATAGTACCTATGCCTCAGAATTTGCTGTGCCATTAAATAATAGAGCAGAGGGGAATGCTGGGAGAAGGGAGTGGGCAGTTAGTGTTTAATGGGTAAAGTTTCTGTTTGGGAGGATGAAAAGATCAAGTTGTAGAGATAGATGGTTGTGATGGTTATAAAACAATGTGAATGTAGTAACATTTAAAAATGGTTACAATGGGGGGCGCCTGGGTGGCTCAGTGGGTTAAAGCCTCTGCTTTCGGCTCAGGTCATGATCCCGGGGTCCTGGTGGGTTAAAGCCTCTGCTTTTGGCTCAGGTCATGATCCCGGGGTCCTGGGATCGAGCCCCACATCGGGCTCTCTGCTCAGCAGGGAACCTGCTTCCCTTCCTCTCTCTCTGCCTGCCTCTGTGCCTACTTGTGATCTCTGTCTGTCAAATAAATAAATAAAATCTTTAAAAAAAAAATAAATAAAAATGGTTACAATGGTAAAATTTTATATATGTATTTTATCACAATTAAAAAATAACAGCACAGTTGTGAAAACTAGCCCAGGTACAGACATAATGTTTTAAAGTCTATATCCCAAAATCTGTACACTGATGATGTTCTTCATAGAAAGGATGCAGTTTTATAGCAGATGGTACAAAAATTACAGATTTACACAAAGAAAACATCAAGAATGCCTTTGGAATGCTCTGCAAGTGATCTAATGGAAAACAGAACAGATAAGAGACACTTCCCTTTACACCCAATCCTGATAAACCACAGTAACTGGAGCTCACTCCTGTCCTCTTCCTCCAGCAACTGGGGCAAAAGGAGAAAAGCCAGACAAGCTGATGTGCTCATCAGCTGTGATGAGGGATGAATCTCTATTTACAGTCTAAAAAAAAGAAATATGCTTATAACCTATCTCTCAGAACTCGTCTAAGCTGCATATCAATGACAAAAGTTGATGCCTTAACGTGTTGACCACATACAAGAAAATGACGTGTGACAGTCATCCTGTACCTTTTCGGATTATTGAAAAACATGAATAAAATCAGTCTTATCACTAAAGAACTGACAGAGCTACTGACATGTGTATGGACTTGTAAAGGCCTTTCTGGGATGAACCAGTTATTTTAAATTCTGCTTCCAGTCTCTTCAGGGTCTTAATGGAAAACATCAGGAGCTATACCTATCAAATCATATTTTTTATAGAAAAGTTCTTGAGGTTCCTATTAGCTAAGAAAGGCAGAAGTTCTGATATGAAAGAATATATATACTCAAGTGCTGAATGTATATGAATCTACCTCTTAGGAAAAAAACAGCTTTTTCTACCTATCACTAACTACCCTTGTGGCCAACTTGCATGCACACTTTGGGGGGTCTTCTGTGCCAGGTGACAGAATGCGGCAGGCTTTTGTAAGATTAACCATGCTTTCCCTTCATTCTTTCTCCCCTAACGTTCCTCCTTACCTTCCATCAAAACAAGCAGTTAAAATCAGATTTCCAAAGGGATTTACCTTCACTTTGCATCACAAAACACTAAGGCTGTCCTCAAAGACAGTACCTTTGAAAATTTAGCAGTCCAGTTGCTATCAAGAGACTAATTTAGAAGAGGTGCCTGAAGATCACCTACACATTTGTTGTCCTTGACAGATACTCTTAAGACTTAACATCGATTCCTAAAAGCCTAAGTATATGGACTATATTTGCTTATTTCTCTGGCAGAATCACCTCCCTTGAGCCAGACTTAGACATTATTATTAGCCAGCTCAGTGATTTCTTTTGTAAGTCTCAAATCAAAAAATGCTTAGAAACTAATTTCAGGACTGTGGAATGCCTCTTTAAGAATGAATGTTGAGAAATATGTTTTCCTGTGTTGCCCTGACTTCTCCCTGATGAAAAATCTAAATATGTAACTCTTACGATCTGTTTCTGTCTACTTTCATACTTGTTCACTGCTTCTATTTTTATTACTCCTGTAAGCTTAGCACTTTACCATTTCAGCAAAGAGACAGGTAAAGTTTAGTTAATGAAGCTAAAATATCACATTAAGTGTTGCTATTAGGAATATATACCATTGGAAAAAATATTTAAAACAATAGGTTATTATTAAAAGTTTTATTTTTAATATTATAAGATTGTTATTACCCAAATTCATCTGAAAATGAGAGAAACTGGAATTAGGATTATGGATTTTGACATATTAAAAACATTTAGAAGTACAGTCCTCTCATGATTTTAATATTAAATTATAAACTTCACTGTAATCTCCCTTGACTAATAAAAGATTTCAAATTGGAATTTAATTGGAATTTTAAATTACAGCGCTAGGAGTTGCACTGAATAATTCTGATAAATGAAAACATACCAACATACTTAGAGAAACTAAGATTTCTAAAAAAGTAATAGCTAATTGGATTATATTGGGTGATATACTTCAACTGTAATTTTATTCTTTGATGCCATTTTCATATACTTTGTTTCCTCTAGTACAGCAGTACTAAAAAACAGCCATGAACTTTGCTAGGTTTGTGAACCAAAACTTAAACCTTAACTTCTGTTTCATTTTTATGAGTATTAGTATTTCCAACTTAAGACTTTTCCTCTACCCCTCAGTATCTCTTTAGAATCACACTTTTTTTTTTTTTTAAGATTTTATTTATTTATTTGACAGACAGAAAGATCACAAGCAGGCAAGGAGGCAGGCAGAGAGAGGAGGAAGCAGGCTCTCCGCAGAGCAGAGAGCCCAATACGGGGCTCGATCCCAGGACGCTGGGATCATGACCTGAGCCGAAGGCAGAGGCTTTAACCCACTGAGCCACCCAGGCGCCCCAGAATCACACATTTCAACAAAGTTTAATTAGATACATTTAATGTTGGGTTTTAGTATTTTCATTATTACTTCCTAGGCAGTTTCCCTTTAATCAACTGGCACTTTTACAAAGTTTTCCCACAAAACATGGTCTTGTTTAAATGAGACAGATGATTAGTAAAAAAAAAAAAAAAGAGAGAGAGATTATTATTTTAAGATTTCAGTGATCCTATTACCTCCTCTGCATATGTAACATCCAGTCTCCCCAATCTTCCGCAGTTACTAAATACTATAATAAATCACAACTATCTTGTGATATTTCAATTATATTATCCATTGCATTAACTGTGCTTAATCAACTTTGATTATAACCAGAAACAACTAAAATTACACCTCATTATTGCCTTTATAATTCATATTTACCAGGCTCTTTAAGGTGCTTCCAATTTATCCATTTTGTTCCTTTTTTATACATTTTATCCATTTGTGTCAATCTCAGTGCCTGGTCATTTTTCCTCATTAATTGTTGCTCAAATGCAGTTCTGAATGCATCTGCCATTATGTAAGCTTCTTCTTTACTCTTCTGCAAAAGCCCCAGCTAGTTTTGAAAAAAAGTTTGAGAGGTGTTAGAGGCAAAACGTAACAATTCTTGCCTGAATGCTGAATCAGATTAGCAAATGTAGTCTCCCTGCCTAGTATGAGTCTAATGTCTGATCTAGTCCATCTGCTTAAACTAATTAGTACTTGCTAATTCCCCTCTATAGTAGCTGCCCTCTCTGAATTAAATTACCAGAAGTTTTCCTCGTGGTGCCTGACCATTCCTTGTTAATCCATTTCTTGGACCTCACCATATTACCCTAGACAGCCCTGTGTGTGTCCTGCCCAAAGAGTAAGAATGGAGGATGCCAAAGGCTGAATCTCAGTACTATCTTGGGCCATTCCAAACAATATCACTGAAAATAATTACGAGTATCATCTTTTACATTCCCGCCATAGCTGACCCTGACTCTGATGTGTAATCGTATACTTTTGTTAACGAATTACTTATGTTTAACTGATATTTTTCCTATATCTGAAGACTTAAAATTCCATACTTCAATAAAGGTAAAATATGTTTAAAATTATGGTCCATGTTCTGTATTTGTTATTAAGACTAATAATAAGGGCAAATGTCCTTTGATTAAATGCCAGGCACCTGCATGGTACTATGCTAAACATTAAATGTCTGCTTCCTCTATATCGTTGCAAGAGCCCAGTAACTAGTTATTACTCTCTGTTTAACATATGTTAAACCCACACACCTAGAAAATTCTAGAGCTAAGACTCAAACTTAGGTCTGGCTGGTACAAAGGTTCCTTCCACTGTATCTTGCTGCTTTTCTAATGAGCTTCATGTTTATCTCCCCATTTATCAGAGTTATGGATCCTAGTGATTTTAAGCAAGAGTGTGTAGTATAGTAATTTTTAGGGCCATTTTCAGAGAAAAGAAATATACATGTAGTACAGACTTGGTCAAACAACTTCATGTTGACACCATTATTAGGCCAAGTACTATTTGTATTTTAGAACCATGTAAATAGAATCTAGTTTATAAGTTAATTCTATCACATAAAACTAAGAATAAGTTCCATAGCCAGTGACTACTAAAATGAAGCTAATTATTGCAGATATTTTCCTTTATTCTATTACGGGAGAAAACCAATTCTTTAGTGTTTTGATAATACAATACCTCCTGTTCGAGCTTAAGAAGCATTTTGCGAGCAGATGCTGCCATTTTGGCACAGGCGCAGGGACTCCCTTCAGGGCCATGGCAAAGGCAGGCTCCAAGGACAGCAAGCTTTAAATCCAAAAGCATTACTCCCATTACTAAATGTCATACTGCCTAGCTGCACACACAAACATAAGGGCGCACACACACATGCACATTTCTATTCAAGCATCTAATTCAAAGAACCTGGAAAGGAGAAAAAATAGAAGAAAGCTGAGACAAGGATTTCAGGATCCAAGTGAAAATTACAAATGAGGAAACAATGTTATTACTTGGAACAAAACAAAGGAATTCTACCTTGCTGCTTTTCCTTCTCTAAAACCTTTAAGTGGGTATCAGTTTTCTATAGTTCTGTATCCCTGGCAGCAAACTGAACTGAAGAAAGTATTAACACCCACCATGTGTTATTTCTTATGACTGAGCTTGGTCCTGCTGCCCAGCATCTACTCCAACCAGTTCCCACCAGGGAGAGGTACATGCTCAGAAATGATGAAATGACTTAAAATATGCCAGGAGAATAATCATCCTTCCACTTCTAAAAAATACCTGTCATCATGGAATGTGAGACACAGCTAACACAGCTTCTGCTAAAACTATAAAAATAAGAACTAAAAGGGGCAGGAGGTGGCCAACACATCTTCTAGTGTCCAAGAATATAATGCATGGACATGCCTGGTGCCAGTAAGTCTACAGAACTCCCCTGAGGAACCCGATGGGCCTCTCTTCCCTCACTCTCAAATTACTAAGGATAGTGCTATTCTAGAACATGGAGCAGATGGTGATGGAGAAAAGGAAAGTAGAAAATTTCCCTCTTGTTCAACTTTCCAACCTGTTTACCCACCTCAAGACCTGAAACCTCTGTAAAACCACTTTTATCGTGGCACACGTTTTCTAGAGCCACCATCTGCTGTTTGACATCAAGCATGGCGAGGGCCTCCAAATACTGTTGATTTAAAACTAGGAAGGGCCAAGGAAGAGTGTTAGTTATGAAATTTAACTCCAGCCTCACCTAATTCAGTTATACCAACATCATACACTCCTTTAAAAAAAATGTTTTTTCCATACACTCACTCCTTACAAGCAATGCATATACACAGACATTGCCTACTACATCTGGCGCCATCCAGGAAAAAATTATCAAGTGAGATAATACACAGGTAACACTAGATTAAATATTACTATTTTTAATGTTGAAGTATCTTAATTTTGCCACCAGAGTCTGGTCATTTGCTCAAAGAAAATTTGCAGGATTTTCAAAGAGAACATAGAAATGCAACTTATTTGCACTTGCTGGATAGTTAAGACAATCAGATGATATACCACCTACACAAACTCTATCGGACTTGTGTTAGTTTTCACAAGAAGCTCTCAACCCAACATTTAGAACTAGACGCATCCTCCTCTCTACTGAGGAGGAAATAGTAACTTTCCCTCTCTCATTGCAGGGTGAGATGGTAGAGAGGGAGAAGATGTGGCTATGGGCAACTTCTGTCCTGAACTAACCTAACAAGGAGAAATCTACCACAGTTACTGAACAACAGAAAGTGCCCCTCACAGGTCCATGACCTGATTTAGAACTTTGTCCCTTTCAAGCCACTAATTTAAAAGTTTCTACAAAGAATGAAGAACCAAAAAAAAAAAAAAAAGGGGGAAGGAAGAACCAACATTTCTTAAAATTTTATAAAAAGTTGATGCCATCTTAATATTCTTAAGACACCTTACTATTCTTTTATTAGCTTTTGTCATAAAGTGGCTCATCACATATAATGGCTGTATATGTATAAGCATACATGTAAAAAATTTCAAGTTTTTAATGTGTCATATTGAAAAATTAAGAATATTAATTTTAGCAATAAAGTCACAGAAGATATTTTTGAGAGAAAATGTTGAATTACAGAGTTACATACGTTCCTACTAATGTTCCAAGAAAACATATACTTACTAAGCTTCCTCAACATTGGGTGCTCTACAGTTTTGTTTTACACTGAGTATAAAAACTATAGGATAAAGGGGGAATGGGGAAAAATACTTAGTGGATATAGGTTTTATTTTGGAGTGATGAAAGTCTTTTGGAACTAGATGTTTGCAAACATTGTAGGTGTTAATGAATTATGTACTTTTGAATGGTTAGGTTAATTTTGTTAATTGAATTTCACCTAAATTTTTTTTTTAATTGCACACACCCTAAAAGATGCATATCTATCATCCTTAAAGTATATTACTTCAAAATAATAGCACCGTGTCTATCAGTATGTATGTTCTTAACATAGAACACTCTATTTAAAAATGATCTTCTGGGGCACCTGGGTGGCTCAGTGGGTTAAAGCCTCTGCCTTCGGCTCAGGTCATGATCCCAGGGTCCTAGGATCGAGCCCCACATCGGGCTCTCTGCTTGCCAGGGAGCCTGCTTCCCTTCCTCTCTCTCTGCCTGCCTCTCTGCCCATTTGTGATCTCTGTCTATCAAATAAATAAATAAAATCTTTTTTAAAAAAATAAATAAAAATAAATAAAAATGATCTTCTAACATAATATTTTTAAAGAATCATCAAACTATCACTCTTTACTTACGTGCATTTTCTGACTTGAGCATTTTAATTTCTTCTGTTTTTACATTCAAAGTTTCTTGGAGGACTACATTTTCACAGTTTAGCCTAGGGAAAAAGTACCCTCCATATAACTAAAATATTAACATTTCATGGCTGAATAAGATTTTTATCTCATAATTAGAACACAAAAACCCAAATAAAAATTTTCTTACTTCAGAACAGTCTAGAACATATATGAGTCACAAAACAAAAACAATTTAAAAGAGTGTGGTAAGAATTGAACATACTCAATTCTTCTGTATATTTAGCTGAGAAAGCATCAGAAGTATCTCAAATTAAAAAATAAAAAATAAAATAATAAAAAGTTGTGGGGGGGGGGGGCCTGGCTGGCTCAGTGGGTTAAGTGTCTGCCTAACACTTGATTTCAACTCAGGTCATGCTCAAGTTGTGATGAGATCAAACCCCATGTCAGGCTCCACGCTAGGCATGAGCCTCCTTAAGATTCTCTCTCCCCCTCTCCCTTTAATTAATTAATTAATTAAAGTAAAAAATAGAGAAGCAGGGGTACCTGGGTGGCTTGGTCAGGTAAGCATAGGACTTCAAGTTATCTCAGGGTTCTGGGACTGAGCCCCAAGTGGGGCTCTGCACTTAGTGCGGAGTTGGCTTTTCCCTCTATCCCTCACACACTCTGTCTCTCTCTCAAGTAAATAAAATCTTTAAAAAAAAAAAGGGGCACCTGGGTGGTTCAGTCAGTTTAGCATGTGCCTTTGGCTCAGGTCATGATCTCTCAGTCCTGGGATTGAGCCCTGCTCAGCGGGGAGCCTGCCTCTCCCTCTCCCCTTGCCCCCGTTCATCATGCTCTCATCATCTCTCTCGCTCCCCCTCAAATAAATATATAAGATTAAAAAAAAAAAAAGAAGAATCAGAAATATCTCTAGGGCATCCTTCTGAATATTCATTCTCCTTACTAAAGTTTTAAAGATTTTTTATTTATTTGATAGACAGAGATCACAAGTAGGCAGAGAGGTAGGAACAGAGAGAGAAAGGGAAGGAGGCTCCCCACTGAGCAGAGAGCCCGATGTGGGGCTCGATCCCAGGACCCCGGGATCACGACCTGAGCCGAAGGCAGAGACTTAACCCACTGAGCCACCCAGGCTCCCCGTTTCTCCTTACTAAAGTTTTCATCATCTTAAACACCATGTATAAGTTTAGGCCAACTTCAGAAACTTGCATAAAGAGGTACATAGTTCATAACTGCAAAATATTAGGAACAAAGTGCCTGTCTAGGAGAATGGTTGAGTACACTATGGCCCATCCACACAATGGGGTGGTTTCCAAGATATATTATTAAACAGAAAAAACAGTTCAAAAGACTACAGTCAACTATTTGATGTAAGAAAGGAGAAATAAGAGAACACAAATATGCCCATTTGTGCAAAAGGAAACACAGGAAGGATAAATCAGAAAATAGTGAGACTGATTATCTACAGATGGTGAAGAAAAGGAAGGATGCCAGGAGGCTGGGAATGGGGTAGGCATGGGGGGAGAATGACATTTCTGACTATACCTCAAATAGTTCTGACTTTGGGAAGCATGTCCGTGTTTTACAAAGTCAAAAATAAACAAGCTGAATAAATCAACAAGGATGGTGGAAAAATAAGAATAAAAATAGAAACAAATGAACTAAAATGAACAGTATAACCATACTAAAGAGAAAAAAGTAAACAAGTTTTAATTTTTTTCAAAGATTTATGTATTTGAAAGAGAACACAAGCAAGCACAGCAGTGGGGTGGAGCAGGAGGAGAGGGGGAGAGAAACTCAAGCCGACTCCTCGCTGAGCATGGAGCCCAATGCAGGGTTCGATCTCACCACCCTGAGATCATGACCTGAGCCAAAACTAAGAGTCAGATGTTTACTAGCATAATTAGCAAATCAAATTAAAAAAGAGTATTAGGTTGATATCTTAATTTTGATAATTTTGTTATGGTTATAAAAGTCCCTTTTATTTTTTTTTAAAGATTTTATTTATTTATTTGACAGATATCACAAGTAGGCAGAGAGGCAGGCAGAGAGAGAGAGAGAGGAGGAAGCAGGCTTCCTGCTGAGCAGAGAGCCCAATGCGGGGCTCGATCCCAGGACCCTGGAATCATGACCCAAGCTGAAGGCAGAGGCTTTAACCCACTGAGCCAGCCAGGTGCCCCAAAAGTCCCTTTTATTAACAGAGTGAAATATTTAGTCATGAGGCCTTTTATGCAACTTACTCTTAAATGGCTCAGATATCTATACATATTTAACTACAAAGAAAGAGAGAGGAAGAGCATGTGACTTTTGATCTCGGGGTCATGAGTTCAAGCCCCATGTTGGGAGTGGAGATTACTCAAATTAATAAATATTAAAAATAACAAATATATAGATAAATTATATACAAAGAAAAACTATAGAATAAGAATATACAAACCTGTCATATTTTTGGGTCCATGATTCCTCTATATTTTTAAATCTATTCTGATCAAATTCTATTTCCCACTGCAAAGCATTTATTTCCTATAGAAAGAAAATAGCACTTTTCATGGACAATTACTACAAGTAAATCACTTCAGGACATTGTGAACAGCTGAAATAAATCGTTAATTACTTAAAAGGAATAGGTTAAAGAGAAACTAATTATTCAAAAAGAATCTGTGACATTTGTAAACACCTATAACGTGCCTTTTTAGCACTCAAGAAAAACTTTGCCAAACCTTCCTATAAGAAATAGCTTCAAATTTTGCTGCTCAGAACCTGCATTCCTCATTGTCCCCACTCCGAACCCATACAGACCCCCACAAACAAAACACATGCTTTGAAGTTTGAGCCCAGGACACTGTCATCAAGGGAGACTACAACAGGCATAGGAACAAGACCTTCCAAGATGATTCCTGACTACTGTTTTAGTGACCATGAGATGGTCAGAAAGAGGCAGGCCCTGCCAGGCAGGCAGAGAAAGAAAAATAGGAAGTGTCAATTTGGCACTAACGTAAAATAAGGAAATAAATCTTAATTCTTTGCTTGTGTAACAATATGTTTTGGACTGTAAGCTCCAAAAGGGAAGGGTCTGTATAAAATAGAAGCACAACTAAAAGAGGGTAAGCACAAATGACACAGCCATTGATATAGTGATTTTTAAAGGAAATTCTATTTGAAAGCTCAGTGCACTAAACAAGTCTATACTAAAAGTGGCAAATACCTTCTCCAAGGATCTCTTTTGTTCCATAGTTTTTTGAAGCATCATTTGGGTGTGACTCGTGGCTTTGCCAAATATTGCCTAAGAAGAATAAGAATCATATCAGTACAAATTAAGTTTCTCATTAGTTTCTCATTAAGTTTCTCATTACTCCTATATACAGAGTAAGGTTCACAATAGAACACCAGAGAATTTCCATAGAGACCACCTTTTATGGAGAATTTGATAGTTCACATGTCAAAAGATCTTCGTTTGATTCTCCTGATGCATCTGGGAATAAATGAAAGAACTTTCCACACAAAGATTGGTACATGAACAAATAAAGCAGTGTTATTCATTCATTCATTCGACAGAGAGAGACTCAGCGAGAGAGGTAGCACAAGCAGGGGGAGTGGGAGAGGGAGAAGCAGACTTCCTGCAGAGCAGGGAGCTCGATGTGGGGCTCGATTCCAGGACCCTAGGATCATGACCTAAGCCGAAGGCAGACACTTAACAACTGAGCCCCAAGCAGTGTTATTCTTAAGAGCCCAAAAGAGGAAACAGTGTGTGCCCATTAAATGGTGAATGGATAAACAAATATGGCTTATCCATACAATAAAATATTAGGCAATAAAAAGGAAGAAAGTACTGACACATGCCCACCATGCCTCAAAAACATGTTAATTCAAAGAATCCAGACACATATTCTAGCATTCCATTTATATGAAATAGAAAAGACAAATCCAAAAGACAGTATGGAGATGAGTTGTCTAGAGTGGGGGATGGGAATGGGGAGTAACTGCTAATGGGTTAGAACTTTCTTTTGGGGAATAATGAAAATATTCTAAAATTAGATCATGATGATGGTTATACAACTCTAAGGTCAGCAAAAATAAACTGTATACTGGAAACAAGTGAAATCCATAACATATAAAATTTTACCTCAATAGAACTGTTTTAACAATCTCCACCTCAAAAAAACAAAACAAAACAAAACAAAAAAAACCTATATTAAGCACTGATGCTTTTATTTTAAAAGATAAAACCAGGGGCGCCTGAGTGGTTCAGTGGGTTAAAGCCTCTGCCTTTGACTTGGGTCATGAGCCCAGGGTCCTGGCAGGGAGCATGCTTCCTCCTCTCTCTCTGCCTGCCTCTCTGCCTACTTGTGATCTCTGTCTGTCAAATAAATAAATAAAATCTTTTAAATAAATAAATAAATAAATAAAGATAAAACCATACTACCTATGGTAGGAATGTGTAAGTGACCAAAATTAAAAAATAACTTCTTACCATGCTTTGAAGAATTTTCAGTGCTTCCTCTTTACCTTCAAGTTGCCTTTGAGATGCCTCAAGTTCCGTTTTTAAAAGTTCTACCTCCTAAGGGGAAAAGTAAAATTAGTCTAGGTATCTGTAAGATATGCAACTCCCCAAATGATCACTTTGGATAGTTTACAGTAAGCTCAACACTCTGATACCCAGCACTTTGAATCTAAGCATTCTGACCTTACAAAAGAGGCTAGAAATTCCTCCAGGTTTCCTAAGCAGCCCAGGCAGGCTTTAGACTGAAACTCTCACCATCGGGTACCTGTTGTAACTAAAAGCCCAGACCTTTTGCTTTTACCCTTCTAGACCACACAGCGAATAATCTGAAAATAATCTAAAATAAGCATGTGATCATCCACAAGCTATAGTACCTATCATCAGCTGAATTATGTCCCTCCCAAGTAAAGATACATCCAAATCCTAACTCCTGGTACTAAGAATGTGATCTTATTTGGAGAGAGGGTCTTTGCAGATGTAATCAGATTAAGATGAGGTCATACTAGATTAGAGTAGGCCTCAGTCCAAGACTGCTGTCCTAACACAAGGGAAGTTTGGGCACAGACACAAAGGGGAGAAGGCCATGTGACAACAGAGGCAAAGACTGAGTGACAGCTATAAACCAAGGAAGGAGGAGACTGTCAGGGGTAACCTCCAGAAGCTAGGAAGAGATTCTCTTCCTAAAGAGAATCTTTAATCTTAAATTTTAAGATTTAATCTTTAAATCCTTTAAAGAAGGATTCTCTTCTAGACCTTCCAGAGGGAACATGGTCAACTGACCTCTTGATTTCAGATTTCTAGCCTCCAGAACTGAGAGACAATACATCTGTGTAGTTTTGTAAGTCATCTGTTAGTGGTGTTTTGCTACAGCAGCCCTGGAAAACGAATCCCGTAGCTTGGTAGCTTTCCCCAGAAGAGTAAGAAATACACGTTACATAGGCTTCCTGTTCCCCAAAAGATAGGGACCCCACAGAGATACTCCTACTCCCAGCAGCGCCTGGGAAACCTGCTGTTCTGACTTCCAAGAGGTTAAATGAAGTCAGTTTATATAAGGCCACACACACAGGTAAGACAGATGGAGGGCAGTTCGTAACTCTTTTCTCCAGGAGCAGATTAGAGAAGTTGTGAAAGACTGGGGTGGGGGTGGGGGTGGTGAGGCAAGCTGGAGGGCAGTTTATGTAAACATAGCTTTCTTGAGAGAAGAGGAAGATAAGAAAGGAGGCCAGTTGAAAGTCAAGAGCCTCACACCGTGGCTCTCTGAGAATATCTGGAAAGCCAGCGTGGTTTTCCAGACATTTGTAGTATTACTTAAAATATCAGTGGGCTTTTTGTTCACATGAGAATTTTTATATTAGCCAGAATACTTACCTCTAAAGTAGCCTGAAGACGTTGCTTTAATTCTACATTTGACAATTCCAAATTAGAATCTGTTAGGAAAAAAACAAAACAAATACTTTTTAGATTTTTTTAAAGATTATATTTATTTAGGGGGGCACAAGCAGAGAGAAAGGCAGAAGGAGAGGGAGAAGCAGGCTCCCTGCTGAGCAAAGAGCACACCTGGGGCTCAATCCCAGGACCCTGGCATCATGACCCTAGCCAAAGGCAGACGCTTAACGACTAAGCCACCCAGGAGCCCCAACAAATACTTTTTTAAACTAGTTAATACAGGACATCTGTTTACAAAATATCAAATACAACTTTTTGTCAAGATGAGAGAATTGTAATAAATCAAATAATAATAAAAATAGGTAGCTTAATTAAGGGGCACTGGGATTGAACCCCATATCAGTTTCCCTACTTAGCGGGGAGTCTGCCTCTCCCCACTCCTTCTCCCTGCCTGCCACTCCCCCTGCTTGTGCTCTCTCTCACTATCTCTCTCCATGTCAAATATATAAAATCTTAAAAAAAAAAATTGCACAAATGAAAAGATACATATTTTGAATAAAAATACTCTTTAAAAAGAAACTCTCTAATAAAACTGTTGTTAATTAATTGGTTAATGACTACATGCCAAACAGTATTTAAAAACATGAATGTTGGAGGGGGAGGGTAGCTCAGTGGATTAAAGCCCCTGCCTTCGGCTCGGGTCATGATCTCAGGGTCCTGGAATCAAGCCCTGCAGCAGGCTCTCTGCTCAACTCCGCCCTCCCCCCCCAACTTCTCTCTGCCTGCCTCTCTGCCTACTTGTGATCTCTATCTGTCAAATAAATAAATAATTTCTTTAAAAAAAACAAAACATGAATGTCGGTGAGTGAAATAAATTTTGGTGTTTGGCTTAAGTCTGATCAATGTAGTGATATGAATATCTAAGAAATAAACTGTTTAATTTCTTTCTAAGGAGAATGACCAGAAGTCTCCTGTAGCTTCAATTATTCTCTCTTTAATGTGATCAATTGAGACATTAAATTGAGCTTCCCAGGAGCTTCATTTTCATTGTGGTCTCACTGGCAATAGAAAAACATGAAAGTGGTAAATTACAAGCAAGAAGATTAAGAAGAAGAGGAAGAAAAGATTTTTTAGAAAGAGTATTTTGAGGAACATTAAAAACTTCTCAAAACAATTTCTTCTTTGCTGTTCTGAACTTTCAATATGACCGTATCGGAGGCAAAAACTAAATCTTGTTCTTATTCTGATGGCACAAGGCCCCAAGCAGAAACAAGTGACATTGGGTTGGCAGTGACAAGTCCTGTTGTAGTAATACTTGTGGTAGGCAGACAAGTGGCCCTAAAGATGACCACATCTTAATTAATCCCCAGAACCTGTGAATACAGGGCAAAAGGGACTTTGTTGGTATGATTAAATTAAGGACTAAGAGATTATCCTGGATTAGCCAGATGATCCCATTGTACTCACCAGGGTCCTTATAAATGAAAGAGGGAGGCAGGAAAGTCAGTGTCAGGGTGAAACAGCATGAGAAAGACTACCAGCCATTGCTGGCTTTGAAGATGGAGAAGGTGGCCACGGGGCAAGGAATGCTGGTGGGCTCTAGAAGCTGGAAAAGGCACAGGAATGGATTCTCCCTTAGAGTCTCCAGAAGGAACACAGCCCTGCCAACATCTTGACTTTAGCCCAGTAAAACCAATTTTGGATTTCTGACCTGCAGAACTGTAAGATTATAAGCTATTGTTTTCTTAAGGCATTAGATCTGTGATAATTTGGAAATTACCTGTTAGCGATTAAGAAATCAGTACAATATCCTTATGTAGGATCAGGCTAATTTGAGATAAAAGTCCATAGCCCAACATGACAGGAGCTCATACTTTTATATCTTGTTTTTATCCCATTCATTTCCTCATGTTCTTACAAAGGCATCTTAGCATCATGTGCGATTTTCAACATCTTGCAAAATGAAACCCAACCTCTATGCATGATAAGGAATTGAAAGAAAAATATATAAATAATCCCATCCTAATTTCAAGAGGGATTATGAAAGCTGGGGGCTAAGATCCTCAGCTGCAGCCTGTTTTCTGTAAATCTAGAAACCTTGTTTCTTAAATTATTCTCATTTTGTTCTACTTTGTGTTCATTCCACTTGGGTGGGGTAAGTTTTACTACATGGATTACAGAAGATTTGGCCAAACAAAAGCTGTGCCACCAGGCAGATGTGAAGTCACCCCTGGGTTCCCAACCGTTCTGAAGTTGTCACATTCTATCACGACAAGATCCTGAATTTTATTTTTTCCTTGATATATGGCATAATTTATTTTTTGTTCTGATAATTTAAGATTAATCTTTTGAGAGGCACCTGGCTGGCTCAGTCGGTGGAGCAGGCAACTGTTGATCCCCGGGTTGCACTCACTACCCAAGGTTAAGTGTAGAGATTTGCTTTTAAAAAATATTAATTTTTAAGGGAAGGATTTCATGACTTTCCTAAAATAACCAGAAACATATATGTTTTGTCTGGAACATGCCTTCCCCAGATAAGTTCTAGGCTTGGACATGGTTTCATTCTGGTGCTCAAGAGCCACCTCCTTAGATGGGTGATATAAGGCCTGACCCTTGCCTGGAAGAGCATATGCCAGCCCTTCCAAATACTCACAGTTGTCTGTGGTCACACCACCCTGAATGTGCCCGATCTTGTCTGCTCTCATAAGCTAAGCACGGTCGGGCCTGGTTAGTACTTGGATGGGAGACCAAATACTCACTGTCCCTGCGCTTTCTACTGCCTCGAGTGACATAGCTGTTAACTGGTAGAGTAATTTTTTCTTCTCTACTAGAATGTGAACTTCATGACATGGAGACTCTTTTGTTCACTAATGTTCCCAGAGCCTAGAACAGCCCCTGGCATCTAAGAGGTACCCCATGAATACTTGAATTAAAAAAAAAAAAAAAAGGATGAGGCATACCACTAAATCACCACACACGAAGGCAAGGTAGGTTATCACTGATATCACTAACGTATCTGTATTAAGGCAGAATAACTACTCCATTTGTACAATCCTTGAAAATAGAAACGTGGGTTACTTTTGTACTATCACCAATCCCAAGAGGCGAATAAAGATGAATTTCCAGAATCCACTACAGTGACCTACTGTCTGGTGTTGGAAGAGTGAAAGCACTGATAAAATTCACAGCAGAGAAGGAGAAAGAAGAGGGCACTAGACACTCTTACTGCTGCTACTTTGTCGTCTGGAGTGTGAAGTTCTGTGGTCTTCTGGGTATGTATCTTGCAAGCTCTCATGCCTGGAGTACTGGAAAATGGCACCACTTCTTTCCTCTCCCTTTCCTGGAAATGGGGGTGGGCTAAAGTTCTTGCCATCAGATCTTTTTCTCGATGTTGACAGGTGTGAAACTTGGATTTCATAAATACTGCCAGGCCTTCTTCCGAGACCATACCCTAAGTCACCTTCTGCCATGTCATCATCTTCTGTTTCCCAGGTCCGAACCTCTGCCTCACTCGGGGGCCTCACCACCCTGCTCATCAGCCAGATGCTGTATTCAACATCAGGAAAGCAGGTTATCTGTGATTAAGAGAAAGAGTAGTTTAAAGACCATCAGTATAATAAAGTTGGGTTTTAGCAGGGAGAAAAGTTTCTTTCTCCATTATACAGGCGTGACTATCCCAGCAAGGCATCAGCACACAAACAGCCCTTGCAATCCTATTCATTTAACATTTAAGGACCTCTTAGGTAGAAAAAAGATCCAACCTCTTATTTCAAAGATTGCAGGGAATGGTAAGGAAGCAGGAAAATCTTTTTACTGAATCTAATAATCTCCTGATCAGGATAAAGCAGATCAGCCTCTGCCAAGAAAAGAGACGAAAGGGTATGGTTTTCACAAAGTCTAAGAGCTACATAGAATTCAGGGAGTCTCTGAAAACTGGGACTTGCAGTAACTATAGAGACCACCTGCCTCTGTCCCTTCACGGGGCTTCATGCCCTTTAGGCGCTTGGCGTTCTTAGAGCCTCTCCTCTAGCTCTACTTGGTTCACCTTCTGTTTCTATGAAGACACAGTTCAACTGGGATGATCTTCCCCAGGCAGCCGCTCAACTGGTTCTTCACCTCCTTTGTATCTTTCCTTCAGTGGCACCTCCATGACCGACATGGGGTCTAAAAGTGCAAATCCCTCTCCCTCCCACTTCCCTGCTTTATTTTTGCCGCACTTAGGACCTTCTAACATACCCCTCCCTATTTTACTCATTTTCCCAATCACACCACTGAAAGGGGGAAGGCAGTATAAAGGTGGGGTCTAGGAAAGTAGGAGTGGCTTCTGCCCTGCCTATGATGCCTCTCAAAAGGTAGGGCAACCTGAAACTTCTCTGCTGAAGCCCAGACCTGCTCCACGGCTCTAAGTGGAAAGTAAGCTCTTTAAGAAGAGAATATTTTGTCTGTTTGGCTCATCCCTGCGTTCCCAATGCCTAAGACAGTATCTGGGACATAATCGGTACTCAAGAAATACTTAAATAAGTGAATGAAGGAACAAATAAATGCATTGAAATATTCTCCTGTCCAGCAGAAAAACAGTCACCTCTGCAAGGCTCTGCATACTGTGGAGCTAAGTGCCTGCCATTCTTCCCAGAGGAAAGATTCCAGATAAAAAGGCTTTACTGGGGCGCCTGGGTGGCTCAGTCTTTAAGCGTCTGCCTTCGGCTCAGGTCATGATCCCAGAGTCCTGGGATCAAGCCCCTCATCGGGCTCCCTGCTCAGCGGGAATCCTGCTTCTCTCTCTCCCAGTCCCCCTGCTTGTGTCCCCTCTCTGTGTCTCTCTCCATCAAATAAATAAATAAAATCTTTAAAAAAAAATGCCTTATAGTGCCCACCACTAAGCCCTCCCTGAGGAAAGACCACTGACCACTGGAGGTACCTAGCCCAGGGGCTGGAGAGCACCTTAACTGCTCAGCCTTGTTCCTCTTGCACGGAGTACAGCTGAGAAGGACTTTCGCCACCAGGCATTTCAAAACCTCTATTGTGATGTACTTGTTTAGAAACATCTCCTTTTCTCAAGACTCATTAAAAAAATAAATAAATACATCTGACATCCTCTCTAAATATCCTGCTGTTTAAATAATTGCTTACCAGAACTTAAAAAAAATAATTAGATCTGGGGCGCCTGGGTGGCTCAGTGGGTTAAAGCCTCTGCCTTCGGTTCGGGTTATGATCCCGGGGTCTTGGGATTGAGCCCCACGTCGGGCTCTCTGCTCAGCGGGGAGCCTGATTCCTCCTCTCTCTCTCTCTCTCTCTCTCTCTCTGCCTGTCTCTCTGCCTACTTGTGATCTGTCAAGTAAATAAATAATAATTTAAAAAAATAATTAAATCTAAGTCTTGCATTTTTTTAGTGAGATGTTTCTCTTATTCTTCCACTATTAAAACCACACATAGGGTGCTGGGTGGCCCAGTTGTTTTTTTAAGCAAAAATAAATAAATGAATAAAAGGGACCTTTAACTGGATTGAGGAACAAGATAATAAATGAATAAAAGGGATCTTTAACTGGATTGAGGAACAAGTTGTGCCCTCCTACCTAAGCAAATTATTAAACTAGATGCTTTAAATAAGCACCAGTTCTTTTTCAGTGATGTAATAATAGCACTTGTGGTTTACTTTCTGTGTGCTAGGCACCACTTAAGTGTTTTACTTAGATTGTTCTATTTAATCCTCACTTTGCAAGACAATACTGTTATTGTTTAAGTCTAGACAACTGAACTTAATTAGGCACAGAGTGGTTAAGTAACATAGCTAACAAGAGGTAGAACCAGATTCTGAATTCTGATCCCTAATGTCAGAAACACGGTGGCGCTCTTAGCCACAGCTTTCTGTCATTTGAAGAACCTGAATGAAATTAACATCAGAATAAACCACATTCCTATCATTTATAACATCAAACAGAACTGAAAGTAAGTCATTTTTTACCCAAATTTTTACAAAATCATCTTGGCTCCTTTACAAGTTTATTTCCAAAATAAGTAAATTTGTCTATTTTTATTTGTCAAAATAGAAAATCCCTAAGAAGCTGTGTTTTTACCTCTATCGCAAATTCCTGTTTGTAAATGCAATCTCACACCTCTGTGTAAGGAGGGTGTGGTAAGGACTAGGCAGCCGGCAGTGGAGAAAATGGAATTGGTCAACACAAAGGACAAAAGTAGCAAGAGGAAAGAGTAAGCAATCGTGGGATTAGCTAAGAATATTTTTTAGTGTGCCACATAAATTCAGGTATCATGGTTCTTTCTGCCGTTAACAGGTGAACATAAATGAACTTACCCACAATCCAGTACTCCACCGTTTTAAAAAATCTCACTTTGGGAACTGCTGGCTGTGTACTCTCCCACTTTTTATATACTAATATTCATATGTAATTCAGTTAAACTAAATTACTTTTAGAACAGATGCCTCCTGGGGCACCTGGTGGCTCAGTTGGTTAAGCGACTGTCTTTGGCTCAGGTCCTGATCCTGGAGTCCCGGGTCTCTGCTTGGCGGGGAGTCTGCTTCTCCCTTTGACCTTTTCCCTCTCATGCTCTCTTTCTCTCTCATTCTCTCTCTCTCAAATAAATAAATATTTTTTTTAAAAGGGAGGGGTGGCGCCTGGCTGGCTCAGTGGGTTAAAAGCCTCTGCCAGGGTCCTGGGATCCAGCCCCGCATCGCATCCGGCTCTCCGCTCAGCGGGGAGCCTGCTTCCTCCGTGCTCTCTCTCTGCCTGCCTCTCTGCCTACTTGTGATCTCTGTCTGTCAAATAAATAAATAAAATCTTGAAAAAAAAATAAAATAATTTAAAAAAAAGAACAGATGCCTTCTAAGAAAGGGAAAATGTTTGAAGTTACTAATGTTCCAGTCAGGCAGTTTTAAAAGGATTCAGTGTTGAAAACTAGGGAGGCAGCAGGGTATGTGACAGAGAAGGCCCTGACTCAGGAGGTCTGAGTTCAGATTTTATTCCACTACTTGCTGCTCTGTGATCTTGGGCAAGTCCTTTAACTTTTTGAGCATGTCTTCCAGTCTCCAAAATGGGTTTAAGCTTAACTACTTCATAGGGTTATTTGGGGTGCCATCGATGCCTTTGAAATCAATGTTCATTGACTTGGAATTTGGGTATCAGTTTCTTTGTTAAATGAGAGGATTGGATAAGCTGATTTTTTGGTTTTTTTAAGGCTCCAAAATTCTGCTTCTATATCAGCACTTCCCAAAGTGTGCCCTGTGGAACACTAGTTCTACGGATTATTAGGTGTTGCTAGGAATAAAAGGGTTCTTCTAGTTTTATTTTTCTATGTTAGTACAAGCTATACATGACTTCCCCAAAATTACACAGATAGTGACAGAACCAGAACTAGAAGCCGTATCTCTGGCTCCTGGCCCACTGTTCTGGTCACTTGGGAAAAGCCATACGATGAACAGAAGGCAATGAGCAATCTTCCTACATCTGCACTCAAACAACTCTCTGGAAAGTGATCACTGACTTCCTAATTGCTAAATTCAAGATCTAGGCTTGCCCCTCAGCCTCTCCCACCTGTGCATAAGCTGTGACACAACTCATTTGCCACACCCTCATGTGCAGGCTCCCCATTGATCTTCGCTCCTCAGCCCTATGAGAATGACTGCCTGCTCAGGCTCCTTTTCCTCTTTCTGTCCCTGCTGGGTATATTTGGCTTCCACCAGTAAACACAAATACATACACACTTCCAGCTGGATGTCCTGACCTAATTTAAAGACAGACATTCAAAAAAGAAATCAGTGCCCTCCCACCCCACACTAGAACTCATCAAGTCCTCTATTTCTGCATATGTATCATTCAAGCTCCAAAACACCCAGATCCAAAACTTCGGTAGTTCTCTTTTCCTTGATCCCTTCAGTTACCAAGTCCTCTAGGCCTATAAAATCTCCCCAAACCATATCCTTCTTTGTATATTATCTTTGCAGCCCTAGCTGAATTTATTACCTCTCCTGGGCTAAACCAGTAGTTCCCTAGTTGTTCTACTCCAAGCCATCCTATACACTGCTGCTCCAAGCACAGATCTAGTGATGACCTTCTCTTACCCTAAGACGTTCCATGGTTCCCATGGCATATATAATTAAAGTGTCACCCTGTTACATATAATGAGACTTTAGTTTTTACTTCCCATTTCAGCTGTCACTGGTCCCCAGACAGGCTCTGTGCTTCCATTAAGACGGACTGCACCTACTGGGGCACCTGGGTGGATCAGTGGGTTAAGCCTCTGCCTTTGGCTTAGATCATGATCTCAAGGTCCTGGGATCAAGCTCTGCATTGGGCTCTCTGCCCAGCGGGGAGCCTGCTCCCCCCAACCCCCCAGCCTGCCTCCCTGCCTACTTGTGATCTCTGTCAAATAAAATCCTAAAAAAAAAAAAAAAAAGGATTGCACCTGCACCTAGGTCTCCTCTATGCAGTCACCTTCAAGCCTCCGCTGGTGCTCTTCACCACAGGAAGGCTTTCTCCTCTAAGTCCCCCTCTGTTCATGACAGACACTTCCTCCAGTAGCCCTCCTGATGCTCCTGAGCCGGATGTGATTTCTCCTAGCTCTCTATTGTACCTTTTTATTTTTTATTTTTTTTTTAAGATTTATTTAGAGCGAGTGAGTGGGAGGAGGAGCAGGGGGAGAGAATCTTCCAGCAGACTCCCACTGAGCGTGGAGCCCAATACAGGGCTCGATCTCATGATCCATGAGATCATGACCTTAACAGAAACCAACAGTCAGATGCTTAGCAGACTGAACCACCCAGGCATGCCATTTTTAAAAAGTTCTTTTTTTTTAAGTTTTTAAGTAATCTCTACACCCCACCTGGGGCTCAAACTCAGCACCCCAAGACGCAGAGTCACATGCTCTTCTGAGGTAGCCAGGCATCTCTGCCTTTTTAATAGTCCTTCCTGACATTTTTATTCCACATGCCCCTTCTGCAAGGAGTATCCAAAGACGTGATAGACGGAACTGAAAGAAAAAAGACTCCTGCCCAGAAAACTTGGACTAGAAGCATCCACACCCACTAGCCTGACAACTCCTGCCCTAGCAAACAGGTTGGTCAAACACACCTAATTCCTGTCGGGCTCGGCAAAGAGGAACTATCGTGGGCCTACCCTGGTGAACAATGGCCTGCTACATCCTGCTCTGGCATTTTTTCAACTTTTTGTGAAAATAATTTGAGATTTACATTACGTTGCAAAGACAGTGCAGAGATTTCCTGTATACCCTTTGCTGAGACTCCTCTGTTAATATTAGAGTACAATGATCAAAACTATAAGCTGATATTGATTCATGCCATTAACTAAACCCCAAACTTTATGAGAATTTTCCCACTTCTACTGATGTCCTTTTGTGTTGCAGGACGCTACACTGCATTTAATGCGCCGTAGTTTTAAGACTAATAGGAAAAATAAAAGGAGGGGGAAGCGGCAGAAACAGAATTTTTCAAATCGATTCCTTATTTTTTCAACGTGAGAAAACACCATTAAACTAGCATTTAGGGGAAAAGCTGCCCGTGTGCCAGCTTGTCCACAACCTGCCGAGTTTCCACGAACCCGCGCAGCGCGGGCCCGGGGTCCTCCCCCATCCTTCCCCACCAGTCGGGCCTGGCCCCGCACTCCCACAGCGTGCGTCGCAGGGACGGGATCCCGGCTTCCGACTCCGCGCGCAAGACCCCCGCCGCCCTCGCACCCACCCACCGCGCTCACCTGGCGCCGAGCGTCTACGCCGTGCGCGCCGCCGCCCTCCAGCCACGTGAGCGCGCGCCGCCCGGACCGGAAAGAGGGGCGAGGCCGCCGAGGGAAGAGGCCGCGGAGGGAATAGCTCCCCTGGCGCTCGGCGCAGTGTGGGACGCTTCCGCGGCTCGCCTTAGTCGCTCGCTCTCTGTCCCCCTGCCGGTCCCAAGATTTGCCCAGTACGAGTGACCGAACTAGAAATGGCAGTGCGAGACTTAGAAAAAGAACAAGACGGTGTATGCGTCAATAAAGGTAAAACTGAGGTGGTTGAAATATGAAGTGTCCAGAGGTCCCGCAGGAGGAAGCTGGATCCGAGCTGAAGTTCAGCGGTGCAGGTGGACCAGGAAAGCAGGCTGTCGGCGCTGAGAAACGAGGAGGGCTTTGCAGGCCAGGCCAACGGCTGGGGCAAAGGCGTGGCAGTGGGAAGGAACAAGAGGGGCCTTAGAGAGCTGCTGTTGGGAATGATTCCCGTGGATTTCTGGAGACGGGCTCCAGCCCCCTTCAGCCCCACCAGAACGCGCCAAGTCAGTAGCTTCATTATCTGAGTGAAGTGATTTTGATAGTATTTCCTGATACCCGACGTCCTTGAAGTAGCTGAAGGGACTTCATGGTGGTCCAGACACTTGGCAGGATTTAAAGATTCCTCTGGATTAGAAACAAGCTCATGAACCTTGCCTTCACAGTAACAGACGTCTTTTATTCCTCTTCTCCAGATCCACCCCATATTTCCCTTTACCACCCACTTCCCCCAAGGAAACATGTGGAAAAGCAGACATAGAACAAGATCACAGTTGGGCTCCTGGGTGGCTCAGTGGGTTGAGCGTCTGCCTTTGGCTCAAGTCATGATCCCAGTGCCTGCTGCTCCCTCTGCTTGTGCTCTCTCCCTCTCTCTCTCAGATAAATAAAATCTTAAAAAAAAAAAACAAAACAACAACAAAAAACAAAAACCCAAAAAGACACAAGATCAATGCTGTGTGCATGTTAGATGCTTGGGGGACTTAAGATTATCTTAAGAGAGAAAAAAAAAAGATTATTTTAAGAGATTAATATATTTACAACTTTAAAGTCAGTTTGCTTACTACTTAGTGTATTCAATAGCTTTGCAAACCAAAAATAGTTTTTCTTAAAACTTTGACCTATTTAAAATAGCCTTCTTTACCCTAAAAATATTTCAAAACTTTATCCCTAGAAAAACTTTAACTTTTTTTTTTTTTTTAAGATTGTATTTATTTGACAGAGACAATGAGAGAGGGAACACAAACAGGGGGAGTGGGAGAGGGAGAAGCAGGCATCTTGCCGAGCAGGGAGCCTGATATGGGACTTGATCCCAGGACCCTGGGATCATGACCTGAGCTGAAGGCAGACATTTAATGACTGAGCTACCTAGGCACCCCTATTTTCTTTGTCAGACTTCTCCAGAAAGTAAAACTTTGAATGCATGCATATAAAATTTTTATTTAAAAAAGACATAAGTCCTAGCGCCTGGGTGACCCAATTAGTTGTGTTTGCCTCTAGCTCAGGTCATGGTCCCAGGGACCTGGCATCTAGCCCCACCTTGTGCTCCCTGCTCAGTGGGGAGACTGTTTCTCTCTCTCCCACTCCCCCTGCTTGTGCTCACTCTCTGTCAAATAAAAAAAAAAAAAAATCTTTAAAATAAATAAATACGACATCAGTCTAAAGTTGGTTTTCATCACTATATGCAATGCTGCTAAATTATTACATAACAAATGTGTGCTGAATGTCTTTAAAAACTTGTATTTACCAATTTGAATACCTTTCAAATCTGATGTGTATTATTTAACAGCTTTATTTAGCTTTTAGCCACATAGCATACAATTTAAAGTATACAACTCAATGATTTTTAGTTGTGTAATCAGCGCAACCAATTTTTTAAATTTTTATTTTTTTTAAGATTTTATTTGTTAGAGCACAAGAAGGGGAGTGGCAGGGAGAGGGAGAATCAGGCTTTCCACTGAGCAAAGAGCCCGATGTGAGACTCCATCCCAGGACCCTGGAACCATGACCTAAGCCAAAGGCAGATACTGAACTGAATGAGCCACCTAGGTATCCCAATTTTATTTATTTATTTAAGATTTTATTTATTTGAGAGAGAGAGAGAGCTCCAGCAGGAGAAGGGGAGAGAGGGGAGGGACAAGCAGACTCCCTGCTGAGCCCCCTGTCTGGGGGCTCAATCTTTTAACCCCAAGATCATGACCTGAGCTGAAGTCAGATCTTAACTGACAGCCACCCAGGCACCCCAGCACAACCAATTTTAGAATATTTTCATCACTCCGGAAAGAAATTCCTTATCCATTAGTCATTTTCCTTCAACTGCCCCAGCCCTAGAAAAAACACTGTCTGTCTCTAAATATTTGCCTATTCTGGACATTACTTATAAATGGAATCATACAATATACAGTCTTTTGTGATTGGCTTCTTTCACTTACCTTTGTGTTTTTAAGGTTTACCTTGAAACTGTAGCATATATCAGTACTTCATTCTTTTATTTATTTTTTATTTTTTAAAGATTTTATTTTATTTATTTGACAGAGATCACAAGCAGGCAGAGAGGCAGGCAGAGAGAAAGGAAGGGAAGCAGGCTCCCTGCCGAGCAGTGAGCCTGATGCCCGGCTCGATCCCAGGACCCTGGGATCATGACCTGAGTCAAAGGCAGAGGTTTTAACTCACTGAGCCACCCAGGCGCCCCTTCATTGTTTTTATAGCCAAATAATAATTCAGTTTTATGGGTGTTATCACTTTATTTACCTATTCATCTGTTGATGGACATCATTTTTTTTCCAATTTAGGACTAGTACGAATCATGCTGCTGTGAACATTCATCAGTAGGTTTTTGTGTGGACGGATATGTGTTTCTATTTGTCTTGGTTATATTCCTAGGAATGGACTTGCTGCGCCATATAATACTTTCTCGGTAACATTTTGAGGAACTGCCAAAAGGTTTTTGAAGGCAGTTGCACCATTTCACATTAACACTAGCTATATGTGAGAGTTCCAACTTCTCCACATCCTTACCAACACTTGATATTTTCTGGGGTTTTTTGTTTATTTGTTTTTAATGGTAGCTATCTTAATGGGTGTGAAGTGGTATTCATGGTGGTTTTAATTTGCATTTCCCTAATGACTAATGATGTTGTGCCTCTTTTCTTGTGTGTACTGGCTATTTATATATTTTCCTTGAAGAAATGTCTGTTGAAATCTACTGTCCATTTTTCAGTTGCATTATATACCTTTTTTGATTGAATAATGAGTATTAATTTGTATGTTTTGGACACTTAACCCTTATCAGATTTATGATTTGCAAATATTTTCTATCATTTTGTAGACTATCTTTTCACTTTGTTGATAGTGTCTTTTTTTTTTTTTTTTTTTGAACATAAACTCTATGCCCAACGGGCGTTTGAACTCATGACACTGAGATCAGGGGTCACATGCTCTACGGACTAAGCCAGCCAGGTGCACCTGATGTTGTCTTTTTTTTTTTTTTTTTTAAGACTTTATTTTTTGAGCACTTTTTGGTTCACAGTACAACAGAGGAAGGTACAAAGATTCCGTGTATGCTTCCTACACGCACACGTGGACAGCATCCCCCATTGTCAGCATCTCTCACAAAAGTGATATGTTTATTATAATTGATGGAGCTACACTGAGATTTGAGGGTGTCTTTTGAAACACACAACTTAAAAATTTTTGTTGGAGTCCAATTGTTTTTTCTTTTCTTACTTTTACTAAGAAGGCTTTGCATAGCCCAAGGTCAAAGGTTTACTCCTGTTTTCTTTTGTATTGTTTTAGCTCTTACATTTAGGTCTATGATTCTTAAGAGTTAATTTTCATGTATGTGTAAGAAAGGGATCCATCTTCATTATTCTGTGTGTAGTTTTCCAGGTGTGCCAGCACCATTTGTGAAAAGGATTGTTCTTTCCACCTTTAGTTGTCTTAGCAGCCATGTAGAAGAAAGTCAACTGGCCATAAATGTGAGGATTTATTTCTGGTCTTTTATTTCTACTCTGTTGATCCTTTAGATCTATTCTTGGGCTATACTGTCTTGATTACTGTCACTTTGTAGTAAGTTTGGAAATCAGCAAATGTGATTCCTCCAACTTTGTTTTGACAGTTCTGAGTCCCTTGAATTCCTATATGATTTTTAGGATCAGCTTACCAATTTCTGCAAAGAAACCAGCAAGGGTTGTGATATGGATTGGGTTAAATCTGTAGATTAGTGGCATGTATTTCTAGCTTAACAATAAGTCTTCTGATCCATGAACATGGGATGTCTTTCCATTTCCTTATGTCTTCTTAATTTCTTTATTTTTCTTTTTTAAGATTTTATTTATTTATTTGACAGATAGAGATAGAGCACAAGCAGGGGGAGCCGCAGGCAGAGGGAAAGGGTAAAGTAGGTTCCCTGCTGAACAGAGAGCCTAATGTGGGACTCAATCCCAGAACCCTGTGATCATGACCTGAGTAGAGGCAGATGCTTAACCAACTGAGCCATCCAGGTGCCCCTGTCATTTCTCTTAAATAGGTATAGTTAATTTTTATGTATTAATCTTGAATTTTGCTGATTTGTTTAGTAGTGTAATAGCTTTTTAAAAAGTAGATTCTGGGGCCCCTGGGTGGCTCAGTGGGTTAAGCCTCTGCCTTTGGCTCAGGTCATGGTCTCAGGGTCTTGGGATCAAGCCCCACATCAGGCTCTCTGCTCAGCAGGGAGCCTGCTTCCCCCTCTCTCGCTGCCTGCTTCTCTGCCTCCTTGTGATCTCACCCTCTCAAATAAATAAATAAAATCTTTTTAAAAAATAAAAAATAAAAAGTAGATTCCAGGTGCACTTGGGTGGCATAGTCAGTTAAGTGTCCTTCTCTTGGTTTCAGCTCAGGTCATGATCTCAGGATCATGAGATGGAGCCCTGTGTTGGGCTCCGTGCTCAGCGTGGGGTCTGCTTGAGAGTCTCTCTCCCTCTTCCTCTTCCCTTCCCACTCATGCTCACATGCGCACGCTCTCTCTCTCTCTAAAATAAAGAAATCTTTTTAAATAAATAAATAATAAAAAATAGATTCCTTGGTATTTTCTATATATAGGATGATGTCATCTGCAAATAAATGTAGTTTACCTTCTATTTTTCTTGCCTAATTTATTTGACTAGAATCTCCATTTATATATATGTATAATCTTTTAAAAAAAAAGACTATTTGACAGGCAGAGATCACAAGTAGGCAGAGAGGCAGGCAGAGAGAGAGAGGGAAGCAGGCTCCCCACCGAGCAGAGAGCCTGATGGGGGCTCGATCCCAGGACTCTGAGATCATGACCTGAGCCAAAGGCAGAGGCTTAACCCACTGAGCCACCCAGGTGCCCCAGCTGTATGTTTTTTATAGATTCCCTTCATCAAGTTGAAGAAGTTCCCTTCTATTCCTAGTTTAGCTGTTATATCAAGAAAGGATAGGGGTGCTTGGGTGGCTCAGTGGGTCGGACCTCTGCCTTTGGTCTGGGTTATGGACTCAGGGTCCTGGGATTGAGCCCCGCATCAGGCTCTCTGCTCAGTGGGGAGTCTGCTTTCCCCCTTCTCTCTGCCTGCCTCTTAAAAAAAAAAGAAAAAGAAAGGATGTTGTATTTTTTTTCCTATCCAAGTTTTTTATTTAAATTACAATTAACATATAGTATAATACTTGTTTCAGGGATGTTGGATTTTGTGATTTTCTGCATCTGTTTTTGCAACCATGTAGTTTTGTCCTTTATTCTGTTGACATGTTGTATTAATTGAGGATTTTTTGCATCTGTTTTTTTGAAAAGTATTTGTCTGTAGGTTTTTTTTTTTTTTAAGATTTTATTTATTTATTTGACAGACAGAGATCACAAGTAGGCAGAGAGGCAGGCAGAGAGAGAGAGGAGGAAGCAGGCTCCCCGCCGAGCAGAGAGCCCGACTCGGGGCCCAATCCCAGGACTCCGGGACCATGACCCGAGCCAAAGGCAGAGGCTCCAACCCACTGAGCCACCCAGGCGCCCCTGTCTGTAGTTTTTTATGCTTGTGATTCTTTGGTTGTGTATCAGGGTAATACTGGCCTCACATCTTCCTCTTCTACTTATTGGAAGAGTTTCTGAAGAATTGCTGTTAACTTTTACTTAAATATTTAATAAAATTCACCAGTGAAGCCATCTGGGCCTGGGCTTTTGTATGGGGAAAATTAAAAAACTAATTCATTCTCTTTACTTGTTATAGGTCTTTTCATATTTTGTGTTTCTTCTTGAGTAAGTTTCAATACTTGTGAAGTTCTAGGAATTTTCACATTTCATCTGAATGATTTTGTTGGCATATAGTTGTTCATAGTATTCCTTTATAATTTGATTTGTTAAATCAGTAGTAATACTGCCTTTTTCATTCTTGATTGTAGTAATTTGTGTCTTTTTTTCTTGGTCAATTTAGATAAAGGTTTGCTAATTTTGTTGATATTTTATATCAAGTTTTTAATTTTGTTACTGTTTTGAGAGTACCTCATATATTTTATTTATTTATTTATTAACATATAATGTATTATTTCTTTCAGGGATACAGATCTGTGATTCATCAGTCTTATACAATTCTCAACACTCACTATAGCACATACCTTCCCCAATGTCCATCACCCAGCTACCCGATCCCTCCACCCCTTTCCACTCCAGCAGCCCTCTGAGTCCTGAGATTAACAGTGTCTTATGGTTTGTCTTCGTCTCTGGTTTCATCTTATTTCATTTTTCCCTCCCTTCCCCTATGATCCTCTGTCTTGTTTCCCAAATTCCTCATGTCAGTTAGGTCATATGATAATTGTCTTTCTCTGATTGACTTATTTTGCTCAGCATAATACCCTCTAGTTCTATCCACATTGTTGCAAATGGCAAAATTTTGTGGTTTTTTGATGGCTACATAGTATTCCATTGTGTATATATACCACATCTTCTTTATCCATTCATCTGCTGATGGACATCTAAGTTCTTTCCATAGTTTGACTATTGTGGACATTGCTGCTATAAATATTGGGGTTCAGGTGCCCCTTCAGTTCACTACATTTGTATCTTTGGGGTAAATACCCAATAATGCAGTTGCTGGGTCAGGGTAGCTTTATTTTCAACTTTTTGAGGAACCTCCATATTTTTTTCCAGAGTGGCTGTACAAGCTTCCATTCCCACCAGCAGTGTAGGAGGGCTCTCCTTTCTCCACATCCTCTCCAACATCTGCCGTTTCCTGACTGGTTAATTTAGCCATTCTGACAGGTGTGAGGTGGTATCTCACTATGGTTTTGATTTGTATTTTTCACCAACATGCAAGTTCTTTTCCTTCCCTGCCAGCCAGAGAGGCAGATGGGAGGGAGACGCCTTCATTGTCAGTAGTTCTCTGTTCTTTGATGTGAAAAGGGGCATCACAGTCATTTAAACTTGATCCAACCTCTTTGCATCTTACAAAGTTAAACAGCTAAAAGAAGTAAAATAAGAAGGCAGTGCTTGAGGAATGTGCAGTGCATATTGGCATCGCATGCCTCATTATGATTCATCTGCTTTCTTCTCCTGTTCATTCGTTTCTTTTGAAGGCAGTGGATTTTTCTCTTGTGTTTCTGTCTTCTTCAATTTCGACTTATCAGATTTCTCAATCTCAGCCATATCAGGTTTGTCAGACATGGTTGCAGAGGAAGTGGATTGAGGTGTGTGAGTGAGTGATGACCGGTCTTCTCAGTGGCTGCTGCCGAATAGATAGTACCTTGTATATTTCATTTTTTTTTAAAGATTTTATTTATTTGACACAGAGAGAGAGAGAGATCACAAGTAGGCAGAGAAGCAGGCAGAGAGAGAGGGGGAAGCTCGCTCCATGCTGAACAGAGATCCCAATGCATGGCTCAATTCCAGGACCCTGAGATCATGATCTGAGCCGAAGGCAGAGGCTTTACCCACTGAGCCACCCAGGCGCCCCGAGGTTCACTTTTTGATATGCGCATCCATCATTTGTTAAAAAATTATTTTCCCCATTGATTTGCATTTTGTACCTCCATCAAAAATTGCTATATTGGGGCGCCTGGACTATTCCAGGACCCTGGAATCATGGCCTGAGCCGAAGGCAGACCCTTAACAACTGAGCCACCCAGGAGCCCCAAGGAACTAAATTTTAAATAAAAGCCTAGGTTAGATAAATAATTTTCATGATACCGTTTTTCACATATACAGCAGTTAGAGTTACTAAGAACTGTGTGGGGTTTTTTTTGTTTGTTTGGTTTTTATCTTGGACTCTCCCCACTCCATAGGAAAGGTTAAATGCTTCTTTGCAGTTTTGACCCCTATCACTTTTTGTTAAAAACCAACAAATTTAAATGTTGGCCAGGGATTAGCGGTAAGAAGAGATAGATGACGTGAGGCCAAACCCCTTTTTTAAAACCCATACAAGAATATATATACTAATGAGGGTGGGCAGAAGGAAAACAGTCAGTGGTTATGCATACATCTAAGGTTATTAAGCACTCCTGAGGAACTAAATAAATCTTACTAAGAAGTCTCATTTAGGGGTGCCTGGGTTTAAGCCTCTACTTTCGGCTCAGGTCATGGTGTAAGGGTCCTGAGATGGAGCCCCGAATCGGGCTCTCTGCTCAGCAGGGAGCCTGCTTCCCCCTCTCTCTCTGCCTGCCTGCCTGCCTGCTTGTGCTCTCTCTCTCTCTGTGTCAAATAAATAAAATCTTAAAAAAAAAAAAAAAAGTCTCATTTAGGGCCGCCTGGGTGGCTCAGTTGTTAAGCGTCTGCCTTCGGGTAAGGTTGTGATCCCAGCATCCTTCAATCAAGCCCCGCATCAGGCTACTTGCTTAGGGGGAGGCCTGCTTCTGCCTCTTCTGCTCCCCCTGCTTGTGTTCCCTCTCCTGCTGTGTGTCTGTCAAATCAATCAATCTTTTTTTGAAAAGTCTCATTTATAGAAAATAAAATGATTAAAAATTTGGTGAACTTTTTTATAGAAAATAAAATGAATAAAAACTTGGTACACTTTTTATCTTTTTCTTTTTAAGATTTTATTTATCTGAGAGAGATTTGAGGGTGCACAAGTGGAAGAGAGGGACAGAGGGAAAGGGTAAGGGAGAAGCAGACTCCCCACTGAGCTGGGAGCTGGATGTGGGCTCCATCACAGGACCCTGAGATCATGATCTGAGCCAAAGGCAGCTGCTTAACTGACTGAGTCACCCAGGCACCCCCCTCCTTAAGTTTGTTTTAAATTAATCTATTTAATAAAAAAAAGTTAACAATTAGATTTGAATAAAACTAAACAGTAAATAGGGCTATTTCTAAAATTGTCTTCATTTTTTTAAAAGATTATTTATTTGAAAGAAGGAGAGAGAGAGCACAAGCAGGGGGAGAAGGAGAGGGTGAGGGAGGAGGGATGCTTCCTGATGAACAAGGAGCATGACACAGGACTAATCCCAGGATGCTGGGATCATGACCAGAGCTGAAGGCAGATGCGTAACTGAGGCCACCCAGGCGTCCCTAAGACTGTCTTCAAATAATTGTAAGATGTTAAAGAATTGTTACCAGTTTCACATGAATACTTAGGACTGAAATTCGTAAGTATATTTACAAAATTCCCAAAAGGTGTATAGCTGCATATTAGGCTCCCTATTAGATCATTTCCCTTCTGTTGAAGGAAGATCTTTATGATGAGTCAATTTTAGTGTTAAGATCATTAGCAATCATTTGATAATTTAGTGAATCCCACTAATGAAAAGAATACTGTCTTTTCAAAACAGCCATTAGAATTACTAAAAGTAGTAACACACATGAGGCGCCTGGGTGGCTCAGTGGGTTAAACCTCTGCCTTCGGCTCAGGTCATATCTCAGGGTCCTGGGATTGAGCCCTCCATCATGCTCTCTGCTCAGTAGGGAGCCTGCCTCCCTCCCCCTCTCTGCCTGCCTCTCTGACTACTTGTGATCTCTCTGTCAAATAAATAAAATCTTAAAAAAAAAAAGTAGAAACACACACATATATGGTACTAAGTTCAAATATCATTTAATCCTTACAATAGCCCTATGAAGTAATTATCCTTATTTTATATGATATTCACCCTTTTCTAATATTCTATCCTTTTCTGATATTCATAGTAGGAAGAGAGTTCTCTCTTTTGTTCTCTCATTATGTTAGAATTTCTAGTAAGGCACTTGCCACGATCTACCTGATTTGTCTAAAGGGTCCATTCTTGTGTATATCTTCCATGTATATACTAGGTTATGATTGTCTGGAGATGAAGAACTTACCTTGGGAGGCATTTCCCACCAGTTATTTGGGTGGAGTTTTACACATATATAATAGACAATATATGGTTATTAAAATGAATCTACTAAATGTTATGGTTGCATATAATTTATACAGGAATTTACAGATAAACTTGCTCATGTGCAAAGTTCCACGTATATTAAGCAGCGTAACTTAATGAGTTAGAGCTTGCTAAGATAGAATTCTGACTCTTGATACTTCCCAGCTATGATCTTGGCTAAGTCACTTGATTCTGTGCCCTGTTTCCAACTCATGTAATGGAAATAATAATAATACTTACTTCCAATGTTATCATGTGGATTGAGAGAATTCACTTTTGAAATGTGTTTTAAAGAGTTCTTGGCATACAGTAATATATATGTTAGTCTTTCTATTCTTGGCAACATTGTAATAGTAAAAAGCTGGAAACAATGTAAATGTCCATCAGTAGGGGACTGATTAAACCAATCACAGCACATCCTAAATGGACTTCTGTGCAAATGTTTAAAACATTAGGGATCCAGAGGCTCCTGGCTGTTTGATTTGTAAGAGCACAGACAAGAATCTTAATCTCTGGGTCCTTGAGTCTGAGCCCTACACTGGGTGTAGAGATTACTGAAATAAATAAAACTTAAGAAAAAAAATAGGGATCCAAAGATGATATCAGAATGACTAATAGGCATATGAAAAGAAGCCCAGGGTGCATGGGTGTTTCAGTCAGTTAAGCCTCTGACTCCTGATTTTGCCTCAGATCATGATCTCAGGGTTGTGAGATCCACCTCAGCATGGATGTGGAGCCTGCGTGGGATTCTCTATCTCCGTCTCCGTGGGCCAGTCCATTCCCCCACTCCGCCCCCAAATGAACCAAAATGAAAACCACTGAAGACCAAAATCAGATATGACTATTTCATTTACAGGATGGCTATTAGATAAACAGTAGCAAGTGTTGGCAAGGATATGGAGAAATTAGATGCCTATTACATAGATAGTGGGAATGTAAAGTTATGTAACCACTTTGCAAAAAGTTTGGTATGTCCTCAAGAAGTTAAACTCAGGAGCGCCTGGGTGGTTCAGTGGGTTAAACCCTCTGCCTTCGACTCAGGTCATGGTCCCAGGATCCTGGGATCGAGCCCCACGTCGGGCTCTCTGCTTAGTGGGGAGCCTGCTTCTTCCTCTCTGCCTGCCTCTCTGCCTACTTGTGATCTCTGTCAAATAAATAAATAAAAACCTTAAAAAAAAAAAAAGTTAAGCTCAGTTTTAGTATGGCCCAGCAATTTCCCTGTATACCCAAGAGAATTGAAAACCTACATCCACAAAAAACTGTGTGCATAAATGTTCATAGCATAATTCCTAATACCCAGAATGGATACAACCCAGCTGTATAACTGATAGAATGCATAAACAAAATATGGTACATACAGCGGAATATTATTTGATGATAAGAAGGAATGAGGTACTGGTATTGGCTTCAACATGGATGACTTTTAAAATACTATGCTAAGTCAGAGAAGCCAGGCACAAAAGACCACATACTGTATAACTGCATTTATATGAAATGCCCAGAATATGCAAATCCATATAGACAAAGTAAAGCAGTGATTCCAGGGGGAAAAATGGGAAGTGACTGCTAATAGTAGGGACTTCTTTTGGGTGGGGTGAGAAAAATGTCATATATGGAATTAGTGACAGTTGATGTGTGATCGTTGCACATTATTGTGTTATATAATAAAAGCCAGTCAATTGTGCACTTTTAAATGGTGAATTTTATCTTAATTTTAAAAAATAGGGCTCTCTGTATGTTCTGAGATGACATACTCTCCAAAATACATTAAATGAAAAAAAGAAAATACAGAACAGCATACATGGCATGCTGCCACATGCTTAAAGAAACTAACATACACAAACACACACTTCTCGGATAAAATCTCTTGGAAAGAGACATAGGAAACCAGCAACATTACTTCCTAAAGGGAGGGGATCTGGGTGGCTGAAGAATAGGGGCAGCGTAGAAGGGAAACCCACTTTTCCAGGATACTCCTTTGTACCTTTTGATTTTATTACCACTTAATCGTGTTTCTGTTTTTTTACTTTAAGAAATAAAAATGAAAAACTCTGATGTTTTATCCTTAGTCTTAATTTTTTTTAAGGGATCATCTTCATTTTCTTTTGCAATCAGCTTAGAAGATAGCTACCCCTTTGGTCAGATTTATTTATTCTTTAGCAGGTAAAGCATTTAAGATGACAGTTTTTACTCTAAATCCTTAATGATATTATATATACTATACATGAGAATGTTTTGCTTTCTCATGGAAGAAAAAAGCCCAAACATAAACCTGTAGATTATCCATCTACTAGACCTGCAGCACAATCTTAATAAAGAAGTTTTACTGATAATTGGACA